CAAATGACCATATTGAAACAGTTTAGGCTATGTAAAAATAGAAACATTTTTGTTTATTTCAGATAGTAATGTATAATGTGCAGCAAAGCTGTGGCCTTTTGTATAATAATGGGCATTCAACTCTAGTTGAATGCCCATGGTATAATTTAGGGAGTTTCAGCCATGTTAATTTTTCCGAAAATAACATGGCAAAGAAGTTTCATAATATGAGAGGACACAGCTATGATAGCTAAACTAGAAAACAAAGTAAAATATACAAAAGTTAGGATAAATATAAATGTTCCTATTTTTACATAAACTGTTTCAATATGGTCATTTGATTGCTTATTTTTTAAATTCAAAGTACTCACAAACATTACTGTTTTGACTATAGTCTTTAGATTTCTTATTTTTCAGGTTCAACTGCCTGCATTTGAAGCATTGTAACAGACTGTATATAATGAGGCATCAGAATTCCAATCGTAGGCTACAGACTTACCTCATACTTTATGAACTTTTCTGTTTTCACTGTTCTTTAAGTCGTTGTTATCGTAACTGTCGGATAGGCACAACATTTCTCGATATTTTGAAATTTCTTTACTTGATGGAGACATTGGACTCCTCCAAAATGAGTGTCCAATTTTAGATTGTTATCAGGTAAAATAAATGTTTTCTGTGAACTTCAACTAAAACTAAAATAAACTATGTCGACCAGCACGTGGCAAAGCTCAGAACGAATGTACGTGTCGCACAAGCATGTATTCATGGGCCCGTGTAATGTCTGGGTCACATTTGCTCCCATTGAGTGTTTTGTTCAATATTCTATTCAATTTTGAACAAAAATACTCTATCGGCCGGGCGCCGTAGCGAAAAAAATGTGACCACGGCATAAACTGTAGCCAGACTCAAGTTGTTGCTACAATTAATTAGCTACATTATGATGAATTTTATCCAATTAGAAGCAATGTAACTGGAGCCTGGGTGCAGTTTGCACACTTCGTTTATTCATCACTTGGTGTACAGGGTGTCCGAGTTACTAGTGACAAAAAATACAGGGTGTCACCAAACAATTTTATGAAACTCTTTTCAATGAAGAACCTATAAACTCTGACTTTCAAGACACAAAATTTTAGAGATTTACCAACTTTAACTTTTAATCATCAAAATTGTGAAGGTCTTATTGATATCGACGAATGTTCCAAGGCCATAAAGGACATAGGCCATTTCAAATTGTCAAGGTCTGATGGTATTCCAGCAGAATTATACGAGACTTTCTTTCCTGTAATGGAAACACTTATCTCAAGATCATCAATGCCATTTTCGAATGTGGCGAATTAACAGAGTCTCAAAAACTGGCTCTAATTACTTTAATTTCTAAAGCAAATGACGCTGAAATTTTGAAAAAACTGGGTCCTCACTACCGTGACTCAACGTCGATAAAAAGATCATTTGAAAAGTTCTTTGCAACAGACTTAAACTAGTTATAGCTTCTTTGGTACATTCGAATCAAACACGTGGTGTACCAGGTCGAAGTATACATGAAGGTTGTCCACTTCTCAGCAATATTTTTTATTTCGCCAATCAGAAACGTTCCAAATTAGGTATTCTAAGTCTTGACCTTAGCCTTTGACAAAGTGGATCATTATGTTAAATGCTCTTAAAAGATACAATTTTGGCCCTCAGTTTTTACTGAGACTAACAAAATGATGGCCTCAGGTTTTTAAAATAGATTAAAAAATTTATGTACTGATGTAAAATAAGCTGTTATAGTGAATGGCTCTATTGGAGAGTCAGGATCCAGGCGCGTTGGATCACATTTGAAAAGGGTGTGCGTTTTCCAGAAAATATAGGGGGAGCTGCATGGCCGAAGGCCGAGCATCCCGGGGGGTTAGGGGGCATGCTCCCCTGGGAATTTTTTTTCGACGACTTTATGGTGCAATCTGAGCGTTTTCAATATAAATAGGGGGCGCTTGATAATGGCTGTGAGGGGAGCGAACCATGACAAGTGAGCGCAGCGAACGAGGGCCAGAATGGGAGGATCTGGTGGGTTCTCTCCACAGAAGTTTTCGAAAATCGAGCAATTACAGAGCACAGTATCCTGTATATAAAATCATTACTTTGTAAAACAAAGACATTGGTTTGGAAGGGGTGGGGGTCCTGGGCGCTCCCCGAATCCGCCATTGGGTACTCTAATAGATAAATAATATCCCTGGCCATCACTTATTATTAACCCGTACTTGTTAATGGATATTCGAACATAACTATACTTGCGCCTTCTAGAAACTGTGAACAAAGTCATCATGTCACCCGGGGCCATATTCGCGAACACACTCCTGGTGATACGAGTAATGCTTGGCGTCATAACGGCGGGCAGTAGTAATGGCGGACCGTAATGAATATTCGAAACATTTTGGTTAGTTTTCATGTTCAAATCGTAATATAGACCTCAGATCAGGGGTGCCCAAGTCGGTCTCTTTTACTTATCTTGATTCAAGATCAGATTAGTAAAAAATACCGACTTGGGCAAGGCTAAGCAGGGGTAATATCGTCGAATACACCCGTTAGGGCTAGGCACGAAACCTTTCACAAAAAACGTTGGTGCCTAGCCCTGCGGGGTGTATTCGACGATATTACCCCTGCTATTCGATCTATTATTTTCTTAAATAAAACATTCAATTTCTGTGTTGTTCGGTGCAACATATTTTGTGATGACACAACCGATAGATCTACCGCTAATATGTTATTTTGCGAAAATACATTACAATTTAAAAAGTAGGCTTATACACGGTTGATTTCTCGGAACATATATCTTTCAAATGATGTGCTGGGAACACGATGAGCGTATTGCCAGTTAAGGAAATACGAAAAAACGTTCTTACATGCAAACTACCAAATTAAAGTACACCTCCTTATTTCCGAATGAAAATAGTTGTTTTATTAGAATTTCAAAAAAACAAAAAACATTTACTTGAACAATTATTTTATCATGTACACAGTAGCCAGTTTTAAATTCAAGTGGAGTGGAAAACTAAATCTTGCACTACCCGAATTATCTCACATTCGTAAGGTGTATTCACGAAATAAATAAAACATAATCGCTCTATAGTTGTAAAAACGACCACGGTGAAGGGATATTGACGGACATTAAAAAAGCAAAAACAAATGGTACAAAAATTCAACCCTTTCAAAAAATAAAGAAAAATAATTTTAATGTAGCTATATATTCTAGTATAATTTATTTATATCCACGCCTTGTGATCTGAAAAATGAATAGGGTAGCCAACTTTTGATAGAAATTTCAACAAAGCTGCAATATTTATTATTACGAGGAAGTTTACAAATAAATCGCAAAATGTATAGGCAGATAGGTGCAAGGGAATGTGAAATCTGGTTTTATGATTTTTTTCAACGAATACACTACTGACACACCAAAGTTCTGAACGCTACTCTATTTTTGGTCAGGAGTCACTTTCAAAAATTTTTTTCATTGGAACTCACATTTTTGCCTCTTATTTATTTGAAGTGCACATTGTGCAAGTAATGGAAAATAGACAGCTGAATTATACAACTTTGCTTGAATTAAATTAGGGGAGTCTATGTCTGATAATGTCCTTGAACTATTTATTTTTCTGACCTATCCAGAAAGTGGTAAAAACATAAAATTTAAAGAGATTTTAACATCCTTTGTTGAAAAAAGTTTTTGAAAAAAGAGGTTTTTGTCCATAAACGAAATTGGTCAAAAATTGGGATATTTCATTTTCATTTTTTCATATTCTATTTTGCTTAAAGGTAGCATTTTTAAAGATCCATGTGCACTATGGCAAGTGCATATAAGTGCAATAAAAATATCAATCGAACAATTCGAAAAATTATAAATAGGGACCCCACGTCAACAATTTTTTTCAAGATGTTGAACTTATTTGCTCAAAAAATGATCTTCTTTTTCTGATTTTTATTGCATGAAAAGATTATTCAGCAAGGGGTCTAAACATCTTCAAAAGTAGAATGGTATTGAAAGTCTAGCTTTGAAGATATCAATTTTCGATGACCAAAACCATACTGAAAACAATTGTTTTTAACTTTATCGCATTTCAATACCAATCCTGTTTTCAGAAGTTATTAATATAGTGTAGAAGAAACTTTTGATATATTTAATTTGAGAAAAACAAGATCCTCTTACATTTTTTAAAAAAGTGACAAGGTGGGGTCCTAATCCATAATTTTTCAGAGAGTTGGATTGATATTTTACTATCACTTACCATACTGCACATGGACCTTTCAGCAAACTGGCAAAAATTAATAAAATGGATCAAAATTATGCAAATTTGGCAAAATTTAAGCAAAGGACGATTCTCGGTTTGGAGAACGAAGTTCATCAATCTAAATGAGCATTATCCCTGCTTCGGACACATTTGATTTTTTTTACATAATATAGATTTGAATGTCTTCTTTTGAATAGTCATAATTTAATTTGGGTAATATTTCTAGATTTTTCGCAAAAAAATATTAGCGCAGTTCACTGATGAACTTCTTTCCCCAAATCGAGACTTGTATTTTATTGAATCGGTCTACTTGAGCGTTATCCCTGCTTCAGGCCAATTTGTTATTTTTACATCTTGTAGATTTAAATGTCCTCTTTTGAATATTCATAGTTTAATTTGGGTAATATTTCTGTATTTTTCATGAAAAAAATTATTAGCCCAGGAGAGACTGTTCTCCGAACCGAGAATCGTCCTTTGAAAAAGTTTTCACCAAATTCACCGTTAGGTGGCTCCAAAAAAACGTTGACGAAAAATCCGAACCCACTCCTGTCAAATCCTGGCTACGCCACTGATTATAAATCTATCACGATATCATTGAACTGATTCCAAACTATGTAAATATTTATTCTTTATTAGTTTAGTTTTATAATTTAGTCGGCCAGTCGGCATGCGGCTAATGAGAGACTAAACATGATTAAATACTTGTGATTATATGTTTCAAATCCTTATAATTTATCAATAAAATACTTTTATGTTTAGCTTGTGAAGTTAATGGTGCATGTGGGGCTCTTCCCTGTTGTGGTGAAAATCGGGAATGTAATGCAGGCACGTGTCGGTAAGCTATCATTTTTATATGTCATGTTTGTCCAAAGCATAAGCTAAGTGTGACAGAAAGATTGTTCATAAAAAGAAAGCATTGTAGTCAATAATATTAACAATAATATTAACATATGAACTGCACTACTGCTGGTTTGCCATCTTTATATTTTTCAACTCTGACATCTCAAAGCTGGAGCAAATTTCTTCGCTAACGGGCCCGTAGCTAGGACTTGCCATTGGGGTTCACTTTTTGAAAAATTCCAGGGGGGGGGGTTCACTTGTGACAACTTTGTTCCAAAAGTGGCCAAAATCACTTAAAAAGTGCTCAGAATGGTGAAAAACTGCATGATTTTGAAAGATTTTTGGGATTCGCTTGAACCCATCGAACCCCCCTGGCTACGGGCTTGACTAATACAATGTTTGTGTAGAACTTTGAACAGAATTCCTTAATTTCAGGAAAAATATTGATTACTTGTCTTGAACTAAGCTAACACAATTTGAAACCAACTTGATGACCGTGATAATTGATCGTTTATTAAAATTGTACAAGTTTCCAGGATTTTGAATGCATATCCTTAAAGAACTTTGTTCGTTTTGATAATAATACAGTCTCTTAATCCCCTTCTCTCCTATATCAAAATGTTTTCTAACTTTAAGCATGGGCTTTCAACTAGAGTTGTGCTTTAAGTAAAAACGAAGTGGATGACTTTGACGTAAATTAATTTTTAGGACTCCAGGAGCGGTACTAGTACAGCCCCCTTAAGAGAAGCCTGTCATTTTGAGCTGGAATGGGGAAATCACAAGGACTTGATGCAGGACTACTCTTTATATACAGGATACAGACAATTAACAGAAACAATTTTAATTTAATATGGATAATCCGGTAATAAATGTCACATATATTGTACGTGTATATCAATGAAATAATGAAGTTTCTTATTAAATTCTATCATGTAAAAAACTAAGCACTGTTGTAACATGACTGATTAATGCCTTGGTCACATTTGTTCCGATTTTCACTTCGGCGCCCGGGAGTTTGAGTATTTTGTTCAGAATTAAATACAATATTGAGCAAAACACTCAATCCCGGCCGATGGATCGGAGTGACCAAGGCATTAGCGACTTCCTATATTAGAACTATGCAATTGTTTTTTCTGTGTAAAGCTTTCGATCTACCAGGGGATCATTTCTGCAAGTATTTTTATCTTAGAGATACCATTGTAGGGATTTGTAGCCATGGATACAAAGTACAGTAAAACCTGTTTTAGTGGAACCCCTTTGATGTCTCTAAAAAGTGTTTTACTTGGGAGTTGTGAAACGTATGGGGATTTATTTAACATGGCCAAGTGGTCTTGAGACTAAGGTATTCCACTAACAGAGGTGTTCCACTTTACAGGTTTCACTGTATTTTCTTATATTTCCATTTACTCCTTCAAAGTACCATGATCTAGTTAACAAAAATACAAAAGTAATTCTATAGTTGCCATGGTTTCAAGAAAACGTGGAAATGGGTATCACCATTGGAGAACTAGGAGAACTATTCATAAATATAATGAAATGCATTCAAGAAAAAAAAATGCGAGGGATTCTCTTGTTATATGAACACATACAGTGTGTTGTTCAATTTGAATCAGGTTAAACAATTAACGTAATAAACTAATAGTGAAATGATTTTAGATATTTTTATTAACATTTTGCATTCATGATGTTTCTTGTTAAAAAATTACTAAATCAAAAGACAAAACATTCTTTCACTCAGGGACCTTCCTCATTAAATATGTATTTCATGTTTAACAGTACTTCAGCAGAGTACATTACATATATATATGACTTTCGATCATTGTCATTTTGATGCATTGAAATCTCACGCTCAGTATGTCTATTGAGTCTACTGGATAACATAGTCATATGGATAGTGTGGGCCAAAAATATCCATATTTTCATTTCTTTTTTGGCCCACCCTGTATCAGTTGCTGTTTATACGATGTCACATTGCTGTAATTACAAATTTGTCAGATGTACCGTGACTGTTAAATCACGATGATGTAACAGCAAAATGGAGTTTTCTTAATAACCTTTCTCAGCTTGTTTCATTTTTTCCTTCTTTGCCTTTTTCAAATCTTTATCAAATTCTATCATCTCATTCGCTGAATAGTTCGGTAATATTTCAGTCACGACACCATATCCCAGTGTAAAAGTGCCATCTCGTAGTGTAAATCTGCCTCCCTTCTCTAAGACCTGGAACAAAAGAGAATTCTAAACTTGAACCAGGTAACACACAAATCTAGATCAAGATAAACAATTTAACTGGAAAACAATACTTTTTAACTGATACATTTATACTAATTTTAACCTATGGGTAAATCAACAATATAGTGAAACCTGTGAAGTGGAACACCTCTGTAAGTGGAACACTTTTCAGAGTCCCAAGACCAATAGGATAGTTTCTAAATAGCAGAAAAATCAATGAAATCTCGTGCTGCCATCTTTTATTCAGCTTTTAACTCGGGCTAGAGCTCCATTCATTTACATGCTAAAATCTTGGAAAAGTGGCTTAATTTCATGATTTATCAAAGTGTGTTTGTTGAATCTGTATAAAACTTGAATGATATACCACATGATGACCCTGTTTATGTACATGATGTGATTAAACATGCAAATGTTGATTGACATACAAATAATCCACGGATTTAAAGAATTTTAGCATTGCATCTATGGACATTTGGCCCAAGTTTTTTTAAATTGTTATAGAAAATTATTCAAATTACATAACTGTGTAAATCAAAGCTATTAAAGGAGAAAACATTTCACTGAATTCAAATATGCCATTTAAAAGAAGGTAATGTAAGTCATTAGAGGTCTAATATGCAAGTCTCTTAAAATCTCACGAAAAATGAGATTTAGCGAGATTTCAAAAGCTATATGGAAACTATACTATTGACTGAAGGTTAAATTATTTAAGTGGAACACCTCCCAAGTAGAACACTTTTTAGAGGTACCAAAGGTTCCACTTAAACACATTTTCTGACTTAACTTTTCAACTTCTTTTGATTTTTATTTAAATTTTAAGTAGCTCAATTTCTGATTCTATTATACTCCAAAGTTAAACTACAAAACAACATGCACTGCAGTATAAATACATTTCAATGTCCCAAGAATTAGGTGACAAACAATCCCAAGTCAGTAATGTTCCAATACAGTATATTATTTCATGATTCCATTTTCAGGGTACTTTTGCTACAAAAGATAGGGATCGATATGGCGAACTGAATTCAACAATGTTTTTCTCTTAAACCAATCATTGAAACCATTCTATAAAAAAACATGGTATTTTATGAAATATTGACTGATTGACAACAATTTAATGCGAAAATTATTTAGAAATATTTTATATAACTGTTTTTATTAACATTTTTTGTTTTTTTAGTGCAATTGTTTTTGCTCCTTTCTACCAATTCTTGAGAATGAAATAAAATGTCTTTCCGAACCTTGTTGGAACAAAATAGCATATACAACATGTTTTTAGACCTCTCAATATTAAAGTTATACAAAGGAATTTTTGGTTCATTTTAAAAAAGTATTCAAAAAATTAAAACAAAATCCCCCCAAAATAGATAAAAATCAAGAAAAAACTTTTATTTCATTAACAAGATGCTTTTTTAAAATGAACCAAAATTTCCTTTGTACAGTTACAATATTGAGAGACCTAAACATGTTGTGTTTATGTCGTTTTGTTCCAATGAGGTCCGGAAAGATGTTTCATTTCACTCTGTAAACATGATACCAAGAACAAAACAAGTGTTTGATGTGTTTTTTAAAACAATATAGATGAAAGTATGTTTATCTATTTCAAATTATATTGTTACCATTCAAAAGATGGCCATTAAATTGACAATTTGTAATATTTTTAGAAATTTTTGATGACTGGTTTAAGAGAAAAGTGTTTTCAAAAAGTTCGCCATATCGATACCCATTCTTTATTAAATACTACAGAATCCAAGGCGAGCAACTTCAAACCTTTACCCTAGGTTGATTGTCGCAAAAGTTATCTTACCATATCCTTTTTAATTGTGAATATAATTTTGGCATCTTCTCCAGGCATGACCATGTCTTTGTCCGGAATTGATACGGAGGCAGGAACATTCCATGTTTTGTAGTACATTACAGCTTGAAAGTTTGGCATCATTGGTTTTGGTCGACCACCCTCCTCTTTGCTCAGGAAATATACCTAGAAGCATATACCATCAACACTTAAATGTACATAAAATAGATACATAATGAAAGGAGGTCATTCTATATACACAAAGCAAACATATGATTTATCAAAGTTGTCTAGGACTGAGAAGCATATTTTTGACAGTTTTCATGACGCATTCCATGAAACGGATGAAACATTCATGTGCAATTGTACATTACACATACAATTGCATACACATACAAATGCACACACATACAATTGCATACACATACAATTGCATAGACATACAATTGCATACACATACAATTGCATACACATACAATTGCATACACAAACAATTGCATACACATACAATTGCATACACATACAATTGCATACACATACAATTGCATAGACATACAATTGCATACACATACAATTGCATACACATACAATTGCATACACAAACAATTGCATACACATACAATTGCATACACATACAATTGCATACACATACAATTGCGTACACATACAATTGCGTACACATACAAATGCACACACATACAATTGCATACACATACAATTGCATACACATACAATTGCATACACATACAATTGCATACACATACAATTGCATACACATACAATTGCATACACATACAAATGCACACACATACAATTGCATACACATACAAATGCACACACATACAATTGCATACACCTACAATTGCGTACACATACAACTGCACACACATACAATTGCATACACATACAAATGCACACACATACAATTGCGTACACATACAACTGCATACCTGTGACCCAATTTATATGTGCATACTTGAAACATAATTTACACATGCATATTTAGAACCTAGGCTTACATGTGCATATCTGTAACACAATCTATAAATGTACATCTGTAACAATTTAGAGTGCATAATATCTGTAACACAATCTATGTGTGCATATCTGTAATCCAATATACACATGTAATCTGTAATACAATCTACATAGGCATACCTGTAACATAATCTAGCTAGATGTGTATATCCATGATATCTGTAATATAATATAATTAGATGTGTATATCTGTAACTGATCCAGCTAGATATGTACATCTGTAACATAATCTCCACATGTAATATGTAATAACAAAATCTACATGTGCATACCTGTGACACAATCCTATTATGCATTTTCATTGTTCCTGGCTTCCCAATCATCATTCCCCTCTTAACATCATCTCTCTTAAGACCCCTGATAAGGGCTCCCATCTGGTCACCTGCCTCAGCTTGATCTAAGATCTGTCTGAACATTTCAATGCCTGCAATATAGAATAGGACAGGTATATAAGACAGTTGACTGAGTGTAATAAGCTTAACATCATCTCTCTTAAGACCTCTGATAAGGGCTCCCTTCTGGTCACCAGCCTCAGCTTGATCTAAGATCTGTCTGAACATTTCAATGCCTGCAATATAGAATAGGACAGGTATATAAGACAGTTGACTGAGTGTAATAAGCTTAACATCATCTCTCTTAAGACCTCTGATAAGGGCTCCCATCTGGTCACCAGCCTCAGCTTGATCTAAGATCTGTCTGAACATTTCAATACCTGCAATATAGAATAGGACAGGTATATAAGACAGTTGACTGAGTGTAATAAGCTTAACATCATCTCTCTTAAGACCTCTGATAAGGGCTCCCATCTGGTCACCAGCCTCAGCTTGATCTAAGATCTGTCTGAACATTTCAATGCCTGCAATATAGAATAGGACAGGTATATAAGACAGTTGACTGGGTGTAATAAGCTTAACATCATCTCTCTTAAGACCTCTGATAAGGGCTCCCATCTGGTCACCTGCCTCAGCTTGATCTAAGATCTGTCTGAACATTTCAATACCTGCAATATAGAATAGGACAGGTATATAAGACAGTTGACTGAGTGTAATAAGCTTAACATCATCTCTCTTAAGACCTCTGATAAGGGCTCCCATCTGGTCACCTGCCTCAGCTTGATCTAAGATCTGTCTGAACATTTCAATACCTACAATATAGAATATGACAGGTATATAAGACAGTTGACTGGGTGTAATAAGCTGAACATTATCTCTCTTAAGACCTCTGATAAGGGCTCCCATCTGGTCACCAGCCTCAGCTTGATCTAAGATCTGTCTGAACATTTCAATACCTGCAATACAGAATATGACAGGTATATAAGACAGTTGACTGGGTGTAATAAGCTTAACATCATCTCTCTTAAGACCTCTGATAAGGGCTCCCATCTGGTCACCAGCCTCAGCTTGATCCAAGATCTGTCTGAACATTTCAATACCTGCAATATAGAATAGGACAGGTATATAAGACAGTTGACTGGGTGTAATAAGCTTAACATCATCTATTTTAAGACCTCTGATAAGGGCTCCCATCTGGTCACCAGCCTCAGCTTGATCTAAGATCTGTCTGAACATTTCAATGCCTGCAATATAGAATAGGACAGGTATATAAGACAGTTGACTGGGTGTAATAAGCTTAACATCATCTATTTTAAGACCTCTGATAAGGGCTCCCATCTGGTCACCAGCCTCAGCTTGATCTAAGATCTGTCTGAACATTTCAATACCTGCAATATAGAATAGGACAGGTATATAAGACAGTTGACTGGGTGTAATAAGCTTAACATCATCTCTCTTAAGACCTCTGATAAGGGCTCCCATCTGGTCACCTGCCTCAGCTTGATCTAAGATCTGTCTGAACATTTCAATGGCTGCAATATAGAATAGGACAGATATATAAGACAGTTGACTGGGTGTAATAAGCTTAACATCATCTCTCATAAGACCTCTGATAAGGGCTCCCATCTGGTCACCAGCCTCAGCTTGATCTAAGATCTGTCTGAACATTTCAATGCCTGCAATATAGAATAGGACAGGTATATAATCATTCGGTAATATACATGTAGCGCTCAGCTTCATGTTGGTGTACATATTATATTGACATCAAATATGACATCACTTAAACTGAATTTTGAATATTTAATGACGTAAATCAAGATTATTTCTACTCGCATCTAGTCTATTTAGGGAGTTTCAGCCATGTTAATTTTTCCGAAAATAACATGGCAGAGGAGTATCAAAATTATAAGAGGACACAGATATGATAGCTAAACTACAAAACAAACTTTTATCCAAACAAGTTAGGATAAATATAAATAAATGATCTAGCATTGTATAAAGGGAAAATGTTCACTTTTCAGTCATTTGGTTTATTTGAAATTGAGATGTTTTCAATTTGATTCAGTGAATTTTAATTTTTTTGTATGTCTCACCTGTAATGGTCGTCTTTTTAGACTGTCCATATCCCATAATTTCTGCAGTATCTCCCTTTTTAATGACACCTCTCTCCAGGCGACCCGTGACAACTGTGCCTCTTCCTGAAATTATAGACCAATGGGAGGATAAAAACATACACAAGGCATTAACATAAAAAGTCTCATCACCGATCACTCAGAGAATTTAGGGTCACCAGTGTCCCAACCGTCAACGCTGATGCCACAGTGCAATACCTACTGCCAGAGTGTTCCAACCGCCAACTCTGATGCCACAGTGCAATACCTACTGCCAGAGTGTTCCAACCGCCAACACTGATGCCACAGTGCAATACCTACTGCCAGAGTGTTCCAACCGCCAACGCTGATGCCACAGTGCAATACCTACTGCCAGAGTGTTCCAACCGCCAACTCTGATGCCACAGTGCAATACCTACTGCCAGAGTGTTCCAACCGCCAACACTGATGCCACAGTGCAATACCTACTGCCAGAGTGTTCCAACCGCCAACGCTGATGCCACAGTGCAATACCTACTGCCAGAGTGTCCCAACCGCCAATGCTGATGCCACAGTGCAATACCTACTGCCAGAGTGTCCCAACTGCCAACGCTGATGCCACAATGCAATACCTACTGCCAGAGTGTCCCAACCGCCAATGCTGATGCCACAGTGCAATACCTACTGTCAGAGTGTTCCAACCGCCAACTCTGATGCCACAGTGCAATACCTACTGCCAGAGTGTCCCAACTGCCAACGCTGATGCCACAATGCAATACCTACCGCCAGAGTGTCCCAACTGCCAACGCTGATGCCACAATGCAATACCTACTGCCAGAGTGTCCCAACTGCCAACGCTGATGCCACAATGCAATACCTACTGCCAGAGTGTCCCAACTGCCAACGCTGATGCCACAATGCGATACCTACTGCCAGAGTGTTCCAACCGCCAACTCTGATGCCACAGTGCAATACCTACTGCCAGAGTGTCCCAACTGCCAACGCTGATGCCACAATGCAATACCTACTGCCAGAGTGTCCCAACTGCCAACGCTGATGCCACAATGCAATACCTACTGCCAGAGTGTCCCAACTGCCAACGCTGATGCCACAATGCAATACCTACTGCCAGAGTGTCCCAACTGCCAACTCTGATGCCACAATGCAATGCCTACTGCCAGAGTGTCCCAACTGCCAACGCTGATGCCACAATGCAATACCTACTGCCAGTCAACTCAGTGCCAATGCATCTTGGTGCTTATTGCATCAAGTCATGGATAATATTTGATTTTTGTTGATTTATAATAGGCAGCCAGTTCTGTAAAATGGAACACCTCTTTGTAAGGAACACATCTCTGTTATGAACATGTCTCTGTAATGAACACCTATCTGTAAGGAACACCTCTCTATGTTGTGGGACATATTTCAAAAGAACTAGTGAATTGAATTACCTCTATGTGATTCCTGGGTCACATTTGCTCCGATTAATTAGGCAGCGTCCAACTGATCGAGTATTGACTGGGCGCTGGCTGATGAATTGGAGCAAATGTGACTCGGGCATAAGGGACAACTGTCTACAAAGAACAGTCAATACTGAGGGTTAACGGATAACAGTTTTCCTGGAATTTAGATGACAAGATTTAAGTGGCACCTTCTTACTCACCCAGACACATGCAGCAGGCCCAATATGCCCATCTACATACTACACATTCAATTTTACAGTTCCCAGAGTATTTGAGGAAATGGACAAAAATCTGACAAAAATGAGTAATGTTTACCTGGGATAATATGTGTAGATTCTATAGGTAAGAAAAATGGTTTATCCAGATCTCTCTCAGGCACAGGTATATAGCTGTCCACTGCCTCTAATAACTTATTAATTGCCTCTGAGCCAATCTCTGGTTTCGAGCCCTGGAAAAATATTTAGAGGTTATGTCACTATGACGTGAAATATGCCTGAGTTCTCCCAATATAGGCCGACCTTGGGAGGCTCTATATTTGGGCAAGAACGAAGGCATATTTCACGTCATAGTGACATAACTGATGTATTACATGCCTTTGTTCCCATGGTTACTTTGTATCAATGACGTGACGTCATGATATTATCATGGTTATTAAAGAAATCTATTATCAAAACGAGGTAAGCGGGCTATATCGGGGTAATCGGGCAATATCGGTGGATATAGCTCGCTAACTTCCCCATTGACTTCCATACAAATGCTTCGCTAGGTATGTAATACACACCCATATATATTGGTTTATTTGCAGCCATTTAAATATTTGAAATATAGATCAAAATTTTCCAATGGCATGAATGCCATTAGCTGAAGTTTTTTTTTAATTAGATTTTATTGTATCTGAAAACGTTAATGAGTTTTACCTTAATGTCAATTTTTAACAAGGAACAACACGGTAAATGTCATTACCCGACAAGTTATTACTAATGATTACAAATGTGTAACACTCTGTTACACACATTGGTCACCAAGGCAACCAGTCACAAACCTGGTGGCCATAACAATAAGAGATGTCATTAGGAACAAAAAAAATCGGAACGGTTCGGTTCGGAACATTTTGCTTCAGAACGGATTTGGAACGGTTCGGAACAGAGTGACTGCGTGTATAAGATTAAAACAAGTTGATCATCTAGGTCTATTTGGTGGCGAAAAGCTCTTCAAAACTCTTCAATGAGAAGGAGTGAAAAGAATGAACCTCTTTTGGTGCAAAATATTGAAAGAAAAATGCTGTTTTGTGGCGATTTAAGGGCCAAAAGTTGTGAAAGGGTAAATTGTTCTTGTTCCGGAACCTAACCGAAATTCTCAATTTGTGTTCCATGTTCCGTTCCGAAGGCATAATTCCGCGGATCAGAACAAAATCGGGTATCCGTGACACCTCATATAACAATGTCACCACTTCTTGTTGGAAACACCTAAAGGTAAAATATGTGAGCTACGCAAAAGTCTTAAAATCCAACTATACCTCCAGTGCACAAAGTGCAGAGCCAGTTATGATTGGTGTTTCTTCTCCATTGTAGCCATGCTCAGTCAACAGCTCCCGAACCTCCATGTCCACCTATGTAATTGTATTAATATAAAATATAATGAATACATCTTCAAATATAATTGAATGATATAAATTATAATGAATATATTTCAAATATAATTGAATATATTTCAAATATAATGAATATATTTTCAAATATAATTGAATAATATAAAATATAATGAATATATTTTCAAATATAATTGAATAATATAAAATATAATGAATATATTTTCAAATATAATTGAATGATATAAATTATAATGAATATATTTCAAATATAATTGAATATATTTCAAATATAATGAATATATTTTCAAATATAATTGAATAATATAAAATATAATGAATATATTTTCAAATATAATTGAATAATATAAAATATAATGAATATATTTTCAAATATAATTGAATAATATAAAATACATGTATAATTGAAGATATGTGACAAGTTAATCAAATCAGTTATCGAAAAAAATTTACTTTTGGCAATTCTATAACCTTTACATTCGTTCGACTTCGCTTCTTAAAAGAGAGCTTCATCATAGTTTATAAGTAGACGTTGTGCAAAGGATAGCAATTCTATAGAATGTCAACAACATGATTAATTACTTTAATCTTAAATAGCTCAACTCCTTTGAATTTTATCCGTTTTTAATATGTCCACAGTAGTTTTGAAGCATCACAAATGCTCTAACAGTGCTGGCTACTGGTATGCTTCATCAGCATCGCATTCCTACTAATTTTGGGATTTAAGAGAAGCAGATGTGACAAAGAGTTACCAGCATTTGATACAATTTACCAACTCAAGGTAACGTTTATCAATTTTGCTACTTACTAGTTCTAACATTTCTTCGTCAGCAAGATCTGCTTTGTTAATAAATACTACAACTTTTTCAACACCAATCTGGAAAGGAAAGGTGAATAATGTGAAACATGCCACAATAATGTTACATGTTACAATAAAAATTGTTACATGTTACAATAAAAATTGTTACATGTTACAATAAAAGTTGTTACATGTTACAATATAAATTACAAATGTATGTTGCTTCTGAAATGCAGTCTTAGAAGGTCTTGTTAGGTAGTATTTTAAATTAGAATTGCAATTTGTGCCTTGATTTAATTTACTATGGAACACATAAAACATGAGTGCAATGCAAACATATCATGGGGGGATAAACGGTTATAAAAGTTCTAAAGGTACCTGTTTTGCTAGTAGGATATGTTCCCTGGTCTGGGGCATGGTACCATCTGTTGCTGCTACAACCAAAATGGCTCCATCCATGCTGGCTGTACCTGTGATCATATTCTAGAAATAAAATGGATTAAAACATGAAATATTTCAATGAGGTACAAATTGTGTTAGGATCAGCTTTGGGATGCCGTCTAAAGTCAACAGTTTTGGAGTTTGAGGGAGGATAAATCAATATTTGTTACCCAAGTTCTTGCCCATGGGCCTTTAAAAAGAGGAATCCTACTTTCAATTAAATATCCATGGGGCTACTCATTAGCGAGAAACTCCTGTCGTAAAAAGCAAATGAACCTTTTCAAATTTTGCTCATAACAAATTACTCTAAATGCTTACTTTTATATAGTCAGCATGCCCCGGACAGTCTACATGTCCATAATGTCTGTTTTCAGTGGAGTATTCTATAGTTGCAGCATTAATTGTGATTCCTCTGGCCTTCTCTTCAGGGGCTTTGTCAATGTCTTCATATCTTTGGAAATTAGCCTGTTTGTTCTCAGACAACACTGTAATCAAAAAGTATGAAATGTTGACATATTTTCACAAAAACAGCTAAAACAAGGCATTAATATGCAAAATAACACCACCTGCCATTTGTTACAGATGTTGACAACCCAACACCATTTATTACAGACGCTGAATGCCAAAAACACAAATTGCCAAAGGCGAAAATTTTGGACTATAACAATGTCACCGCTGGTTGTGACATAAAAATAATATTCAGTACCCTGTAAGGAAAGAAACCTGGAGAGAATGCAACCAATATCGCAAATTAATGAAAGGTTGATTTTAAATTATGTATAGCTGTAAACTAAATCAAATACACAATTCATCAATGTGAGTTTTATAAAATAAACTAAAATACACTGATGTTTAAGAAAGGGTTCATCTACATACCTTTAGTGATGGCGGCTGTGAGGGTAGTTTTTCCATGGTCAACGTGACCAATTGTTCCAATGTTGAGATGTGGTTTATCTCGGACATATGTCTTTTTACTACTTGGTGCTGCAAATCTGACACTTGAGATCCTTAAGCCTCTCTTACACTGAAATAATATGTAGATATTACACTGAAATCATTGAGATCCTTAAGTCTCTTTTACACTGAAACAATATGTAAATATTACACTGAAATCATTGAGATCATTAAGCCTCTCTTATGCTAAAACAATATGTAAATATTACACTGAAATCATTGAATCATTAAGCCTCTCTTACACTGAAACAATATGTAAATATTACACTGAAATCATTGAGATCATTAAGCCTCTCTTATGCTAAAACAATATGTAAATATTACACTAAAATCATTGAATCATTAAGCCTCTCTTACACTGAAACAATATGTAAATATTACACTGAAATCATTGAGATCCTAAAGCCTCTCTTACACTGAAATAATATGTAGATATTACACTGAAATCATTGAGATCCTTAAGCCTCTCTTACACTGAAACAATATGTAAATATTACACTTAAATCATTGAGATCATTAAGCCTCTCTTATGCTAAAGCAATATGTAAATATTACACTGAAATCATTGAGATCCTTAAGCCTCTATTACGCTAAAACAATATGTAGATATTACACTGAAATCATTGAGATCATTAAGCCTCTCTTACACTGAAACTATATGTACATATTACACTGAAATCATTGAAATCCTAAGACTCCCTTACACTGAAACAATATGTAGATATTACACTGAAATCATTGAGATCCTTAAGCATCTCTTACACTGAAACAATATGTAGATATAACACTGAAATTATTGAGATCCTTAAGCCTCTCTTACACTGAAACAATACTGTATAACATGAAATATTGCCGTGGATATAAAGTTGCCGATTGCCGAATGTAAAACAAAAACGGCAACATAAAATTCGGAAATATAATTAAGTAATTGAAGATCGATCTTTGTGGGCGATAATATGGTAGTTGTCTAACGTGTGTCAACTTACTGTAATAGGGTAATTTTCTAACGAGTATCAACTTACTATACTTTAACAAAAATCATAAATAAAATACGATAAAATCGAAGCTTTATTCCCCAGCATAAAATTACAATAAAAAGTCATTTAAAAAGTTAAAATGTCAGAAGATCTAATTGTATCCAAGTGTTTTTGAAATTTATCCCAGTGCAGTATTAAAAGTTTTTAATTCCAATATTAAAAGTTTTAATCTTGTTATTAATTGTCCTTGGTCTATCGAATGCCGGTTATCACTCAAATTGTCACTCATAATGTCAGGTTTTCTGAGTCAGTAAAATGAAGGTGATTAAAATTCAGTTGTAAATCAAAATATATTAGAGGTGTCAGCTTAGCAATATTTTATTTGGCTTTACAATTAGGGGTGTCGTCAGGTCGGCAAACTTTTATTCGGCAATAACAATTTTAATCCAATTCGGAAAATAAAGCACCCGGATTTAATACATGTTATACAGTATGTAGATATTACACTGAAATCATTGAGATCCTTAAGCCTCTCTTACACTGAAACAATATGTAGATATTACAATGAAATCCTAAATTACCACACATATACGAGGGTTGTCCCAGAAGTAATGCACTATATGCTCTAACTTTATCAATAATTGATATGTTTCCATGAAATTTTCAGAATATGTTCCTTAGAGACATTTTGATTGTTTTGAAAAATTTCATGTTGACAGATGAAACTATATTGATGTTATAATAAAATCAAGTTGGTGAGTTTGGGTAGGGCGGGGCAGGTTATACATTCATGTCAAAAGGAATAAAAAATTGAAAATATGAAATAATTAATCAACAAATACCATTTTGTGTAGCTATAAGAAGTATGCTCAAAAATACATTTTTGAGATACTAAATTACTATGAGCACATCCTAGATTTAATGGATGTATATTGCACAGTGTCCCATTTCACATTTTCTCAAAACATATGCCCTTTTCATGGTATGTACTTTTAATGCCTGTCAGGTCAAACACTCTTGGCAATTTCTTCCACTGTGACTTGTGGAGTTTTTGCCTCCCATGTTTGGGGTCGTCATCCAGGGTCAAATAGTCTCTTTTAAATCTTTTCTGCCACCCCATAATTGTAGTTCTATCTGGTATATACTCCTTATATACTTTCTTCATGGTAGCATTGTTTTGCGTGGCTGTGAGTCCAAGTGAAGTATGAAGTTAGGCCACTAAACGCAAGGCCTTCTGTTATCAGGTAAGAATTGCAGCCATTTTTGCAATTTCTTAACTGTGACTGTATTTGAATTCGTGACTATTGACATGTGGTATTATGATATCACAGTGCTAAATGTCATTATTTGTACTTGATTAACATCATGTTGAATAAATTTAACAATTTCCAAAACATTTTGACCATTTAAAGGAACGAAATATTAATAAAATAACACTTTAGATCTTTTCATAATTAGAAAAATTGGTGCCTGCCCCGCCCACCCCTACCCCCATGTTGTTATAACAACCATATTGAGACTTAATATTAATGTTTGATGCTGAAACTTCAGGATATAATAGATAAAACTTCAATTGTTATATATACAAAATTTCAGCTGAATTAAAGAATATTAAAGAAAGTTAGAGCATATAGTGCATTACTTCTGGGACAACCCTCGTATTTCTGTTACATTAAGATATGGTTTAACTTCATTTAATTTCATATTTCATGATAATATATAAACTTAACATGAAATAAATGATTAAAAAATAATACACTGAAATCATTGAGTTCTTAAAGTAAAATCTTGTTTACACTAAAAAAAATCCTCATCTCAATATTCCTTTACAGGTAAAAACATGCAAATCTTCCCATATGTTCACATTTGATAAAAAAAACTCAAGATCAAGTAGTTTTGGTAAAAATACACGTTCAGAAATAAAATCATGTGTCTCATTTACATTGAATAAAAAAGCTAATCCTGAAATCCTCTAACAGATATCAATATGGAATATTTTCTAACTTACTATAATTGAGTTGGGCCATGCTGATTTCAGATGATTCACCAATGCTGGAATGATAAGAAATAATTATTTAAATAATATTTACATGTGTTGCTATAAAACTATATATATATCAACAAAAACATATGGCAAAGACAGTCACTTGAAGGTTTTAGTATCAATCATAGAATCCCTTTTATAAGTCGAGAAAAATCAGAATGTATTTGGCCTGCAATGGAACAAAGTTGACTAAATCAAAGAATTCGACTGAATTGTTTGCTTGTTCAAGTAGTATTTGCAAACATTCTAACGTGATACAAGGACTTGATTTAGTAGATTCTAATTAATGTGGTAAATTTTACGCTGCTCCCTGATCCTTAAAGTACAATGTAGTTTGCTTACGCTTTTATAATCAGAATTCTGAAGTTTATCATTTTTATATAAATTATATCAATTACATGTATACAGATAGTCACATATTAAGCATTACATGCAAATGAAAGGGCCTGTTAGCCTCTTGTAGATGCAACAGAAGAAGTGATTAGCTCCCATTAGGGAATGCCACTGATTAATTATTCATGAGCAATATTCACAACAGTCGATATGCTGTCCAATCTATTTACAGGATAAGGCGCACTACCCCCAGTTTTGAATGGCAACAGGCAAAATGCCTTCGCTTAAATAAGTCATAAAGTCATAAAGGATATGGCATAAATACAGTACACGAGGGGCACATGTTTGCTTAAAGTCTGTTAAACTGCTTCAAAGGCAAGCAGTTGAACCCGAAAAACAAAAAATCTAAAGACTATTGTGCAATAATATATAGAAAAATGTATTCATATTGCACACAAATGACATTTGTATATCTTGGATTGCTTGTGAATTGGCTTATAAAGTCTATAACCTCTTATATTTTGATGCTTCTCTGCCATGCTAATTCTGAAAAAATAACATGGCGGAGACCTCAAATTACAAGAGGGCACATTCTAATTGCACTAAACAATAAATAATCTGAAATATACAAAATTCATTTGTGTGCAATATGAATATATTTTTCGATACATTATGGCACGATAGTCTTTAGATTTTTCACGTTCAACTGCTTGCCTTTGAAGCAGTTTAACAGACTGTACAGTTTGGAACAAAAATAATGACACATGGATTTGCTGAAGTGACAGTGGAGACGATAACCCCATTTAACGTGTAACACGGAGATTGCCATTTTGCACGTCAATTGACGTGAATCACGCTAATAAGCATAATGCCCATTGTAATTCATAATTTGAAACACTAGGTTAATTAGAAGACCCAGTGTTTAATATATATACAATCTAAGTAATATTTCTTTTATAGTACGTACACTTTGGTAAACATTAATGATATATTAAATCCCAGGGAAGTATTTCATTCCAAAATTGTGGAGAAAAGGCCGTTCAATCTTGTGAATTTTCTGTCAATGTTACGAACCAATGAAGTCACCACCGAACTTGCATTCTTGGAAAGTCTAAATCGATCGATGGAACGCTTTTTATTGCATTTTCTTCAAGTATTTAATCTAATGTAGCACTTGTATGCAGGAATTTGCGATCCTATGTGGGAATTTCGCGCTGGAACTAATCAAAGTTACGTCTCACGAATCCTAGAAAACGCCATATTGGAATTACTATAATACACCTTCAATTATCTAGATATCGTCTTTCCGACGGGTTTTACGACAAAATTGGTACTGACCCAATGGTATTTTAATCTCTTAACAAAACGTGAGCCCCGATTCCGAGAAAAGACCACTGGAAATCACTAAAATGGGGTCTACCTTCCATCTTCTTTTTGACCGGAAGTGTTTTCCTGGCTTCGGCGTGTTGCCGATTTTTCCGTTTTTTCGTTTTTTCCTGGCTGGATTTAGTTTTTAAACCTTCTTTACATTGATCTAATGATTACCTTAAACGAATTATAAACAATTTAAATTCCTATCCTCATTAGATCAGAATTTATTAGTTTTCTTTCCATCATTTGTTTACTTCCGGTTTGCAGTTGAATAAATATTTCTTGTAAACATTGACGTAAGCAGTTCGTAATAGTTGTTAGTTCAAAATGCAACCGGGGCAATAGCAAATGTTTATGAATATAACTATTACATACGATGCAGATCATAATTTACTCATTTGTTTCCCAGTTTATAACTGCCCATTGTCCTGCCGATAATATGTGAAACTTTTACAAGATAATAGATTGCACGTCAATTGCCGTGCAAACTATTGCACGTCACTTGACGGACATGACGGCAATTGCCGTTATTATCTATTGACATGCGCACTTTTGCTTCATAATTTCACGTCAATTGTCGTGCAACATGGCAATTGCCGTACTTCACGTTAAATGGGGTTATCGTCTCCACTGAGTGAGGATTTCCCATGTTAAAAATAAGAGAGTTTTCAAGAGGTCATACATCAGTGGATTACAGTATACAACATGTAAAATATACAAATTTTAAGGGATATGTATCTAGACAATATTTGAGATTATAGGGCTTTCAAAACATCATGGTTTGGTTATGGTGATAGAAAATCCACCTATCATTTATTTTGTTCCAAACTGTAGAGCCATGCATGTGCAAAGCAAAATTTGGTGGAAATGGCAGTTATCTCTGTTTATTTCAGTTGGACATCATCAATTCTAAACAATGGTAGTCTAACACTATTCCAGTTGCGCGATCCAAACTTAGGCCTAGCAATGATTTCCAGAAAACAACAATCAACAGCGAACAAGTCAACATTAGGGCTGAAACGAACAGTAAATTCTCATACCGAATATTCGGCCAGCAAATCCCCGTTCGGCCCCGAATATTCGTTAAAAACCCGGAAGTATTTATAAGTTGTTTGATTTCTAAGAGCATGTGAAGTAAATACGCCAAGTTTGAATAGAATGCTGGCTGTGTTATGTAAACCATTTGTTTGTTTGTAATATTATTACATTTAATAAACGTCAATAAAGCATTTTATTTCCCTATTTGTTTGTTAATTTCACCAATAAAACAGTTAATAAAAACGAAAACAAAAAATACAACCTTCTCCCGGCGTGTTAATTACGTCATCGGGAAACACCAAATATACAATGGTTCTAAAACACATACCATACGTAATTACGTAAAGAAACGATTGCCGATTACTATAGAACTTTTTTTATAGTATTCGAATTCACAATAAATAGTGAAGTTGTAGACTATAAGACAATGCAACGGTTGTGTTATGAATGATTATAAATACTTATTCCAAGCGCATGCGCTAAAAACCGAACCTAAAAACGAACCTGGCGCAGATTGCCTCTCGTCAAACGAATGTTCTTAACTTAATATTCAAGTTAATACCATTAATCAGCAGTACTCAGAGCGTCAGTGGTTACAAGTAAGAGCTGCAGATGACTCTTAGGTGAGTAACCGTCGTAATCTATATCAGGATTGCTTTAAAATTGGGTTTGTCTTGGCGGGAGACTAAATCGGCGCGCATGCGCAGTCAGTCGTTTAATATTCGAATACCACAAAATACCATTCGAATATCACCTCAGACCTATTTGCAACCGAATACTCGAGTATTCGTTTCACCCCTAGTCAACATATCAATTTAATGGCAAATGATTCCAGTTTACAAAACGAGTCGACATAGATGACATTGGCATCGCTCAGACTTGGGAAATTCCCTCCTTTGTAGATACAATGTACCAGAGACAATAAAATAAAAAAATAAAAGCAAAAATGCTAAAAAATCATGATAAAAAAAATTATGAAATTTTTACATTTTAAAAAATTAGGATTTATGTAAAAACCAAGCTGCTGTTTCTTACAATATTGATCAAACAGATTAACCAATTAATACTGTATACAGCGCACTCTAAAAGCTTGTAAATCAAGGTTTCAAACAAAAGATATACCTGTATTTGTAGCAGACCATGCAGACCGGCAAATAAAAGCAGCCATCTTGAATTTAAATGTTAAACTCTGTAGAGACTAAGTTCAAATGAAAATGTTAAATTCATTCATTAATTGAGGCAGGAATTCCATATCAATGCATTTTAATTATGTTTTGTGAGTTCATTTATTCCCTAAAAATATCAAATGTGAATTATGTCGCATAATTCACTAGTTTTTGACTTTCTACATGAAACGAAAACAAGTTCCAAATCCCGGAAGTGATTCCATTTTTGTTTTTGACCTACTTTTAAAATAAGAAAATATTTACATTTTACTCTCTCACTGCTATATGAAAGCAGATCGTGTTATAAAAATCATCGTATTGAACAGACAATTATACACCTCCTAATGTGGATACTATAGAAACATTTAACAATGAAGATAAACGAACGAAATTTGATATATTATGCAAACTGCAATGCACCCGTTGATAAAGAAGGATGGCTGATGAAGAGGGGAGAAGTTAATAAAGGATTTCAAAAGCGATGGTTTGTTTTGAAAGGAAACTTACTATTCTATTTTGAAAGACAAATCGATCGTGAACCAACTGGTTTAATCATTGTTGAAGGTTGCACTGTTGAACTCGCTGAACTCGATTCAGACAGTTTCACGTTCCAGCTTGTATTCACAGGCCCCGGGAGTCGAAGTTACATTCTGTCATCTACATCACAAGAGGAAATGGAAGCATGGATGAAAGCTATCACATGTGCCAATTACGAATACATGAAATTGATGGTATCTGAGCTTCAACGTCAGCTGGAGGAAATAACATTAGCCGATAATTCAGACATTCAGGAGACATTCAGAGAATCCATACCACCCGCCGGATCTCAAAATGACAATACTCCTATCGTTGATATCAGCTCTAACTCGCAGTCATCTAATAGTCGTGGTAGCTCTCGTTTTAACCCATTTGATTCCAAGGGACCGACTGCCGATGTCTTTGGACAGCCTGAATTTACATCACGTCAAAGTGCCTCTACTAAGTCAGATCAAGTCTCACAAGGGTTACCCAAGGTGCCACCCAGACCAAGTCGAAACCAACCTTACAACAGAGTCAGAACATTTGATGAAATGCATCTTGAATTTAAAGAAAATATTGATCAGAAAATGACAATGAAATTTGGTCGCTCAATAATGCCTTCACTAGTTGGGGAATTAGTCACCCCAGCATCACCCTTTTAAACAATTTAGTAATTATTAAGGTTTAATACACAAAGCGTTCAAAGGATCCTATTTAGGAGTTAGCTTTGTGGTGATTTCTTTGACATTGATTATTGAAAAATTAACTTATTATTAAATACATCATAAATGCTTGGCTGAAAATGCACGTCGATGTGCAAATGTATGTTTGCACCTTCCTCCAACAAAAAGGATAATAAGCTGTACATATTTTATTGGAGTATTTATTAAACATTATAAGGATCACAAATCACAATATGCATTAGTTTTCTGATGACATCTTTTAGTATACTTAAATACGGACTGTAAATGGCATGATAACAGCTGAGCTTAGATACTAGTAGACCTAAATGTACTATAGGTTAGGTTAATTTAGCGCCTGCTTTATTTTGGCGAATTTGGCAAAAGTAAAAAACACCAATTAACATATTTTGCCAAAGTTTAGAAAAAATTCCATGGGAATATCTGTGACTTCTTTTTGCGGGATGTATATATCAATTTATGACAAGCTTGTTAAAAAATTGTCATCATAAGTCTGTAAGTTGCATGGAATGGAACTTTTAGTTACCTGTATACGATAAATGGCAAAATTGCCGAATTAAATAGCGCCAAATTAACTCAATCTACACTATTTCATTTACATCTGCGAGAGTTCTAGGCCCCTAAATTTTTATCAAATACAATGAGTTGATATTGATATTGGCATGAATAAGCAAAGCAAATAAGTACATATATAGGGGTTATGCACTGGGAGGTTTTGGATACAGGGAATATCCCGAGGGATATTCCATGTATCCAAACCGACCGTGCATAACTGGTGTATCTCATACTTGAGTGGGTTTAAGGTAGATATAACCTTTTCGATCTTTTTCAAATGACAAGATATTTATATTTAACATTTTCGTAATATTCTTTTTGTTCAATACAATGAAATTGTAACATTTAAACTTAAAAAAATTAAATTATAAAATTAAAAAATTAAAACTTTTGATATTTAAACTTTTTTAAACTTTTGAAAAATTCCCGGGAGCGGGATGGATATATTATATCTGCCCGCATTTGGCCTGGAGCGGGACATATACAATATATCCTGCCCGCTCCTCAGATACGATATATATTCCCGGGTGATATCTACCCCAAACCCACTCAAGTATGAGATAAACTTTTTTATAAATAAAAGATAACTTACAAAAGGATGAATTTGTCACACATTATATTCAAAATAACTGAATTGGCAACCTCATTTGTAAATTCAAAAGGGAATCAATTTAGATTGTAAGAATCCCATGAAAAATATTTGGGCTGGAGTATTAGTAAATTCAAGTTTGGGTAAGGTGATGGTTGTGGGGGTACCATCCATTCAGGGTTAAAATATTTCCTTGAAATTTTAGGTTTTAATTGTACAACTGTGAATGGATAGTACCCTCCACACCACAGTACAAGGTAAACGTACAACTCGTAGCTGAAGACATACCTATACTGCCTTCCATGCCAGTGTGTTGTTGCCTACTCTTATCTGTGCCCCTCCCTATTATACAAGGCTACTCCAATGGACCATTTGCTATATGTAGATTGAAAAATAGATGGCAACATGGGTATTGGTAGGGCCTGAATACTATTGATAGTAGGAAATCCTGGCTAAAAATCTCTTAGTTAATTGATTTATCAGATATTTTCTTTTTAATTCATGTAAAACTACATTTGCATGCTACTAAATAATCTTGTTGAAATGTGGATTGTGAAATTAACATTGAAATTGAGAAAATGAACATTTAAAGGTTTTTAACATGGTGTCAATGGGGATTTAGTCCAACTTTTTTTCAGAAAACTCATTAAGCAAACCCTCCATTACAGCAAAGGTCAGAAGAGCTATAAAACCAATTAGAATTACAGCACTTAAAAACTTGCATTTTATATATCACTACTTTGTCTTTCCGAGGCAAAGAGCAATTCCTTTCAAAATACTAACTGAAGATGTTGCAATCAGTCATATACATGATATAGGCTACCTGAGATTTTGACAGTGAAATCATGAATAGCACAAGGCAATAACATGCAAAATATAACCTCCTTTCAGTCTTTTCCACTTCTGATGGTGACATAAAGAATTAAAATGAAAAACTCCAAATTCCCATTCCACTTGAATAACACAAGAACATTTATTTTGTGCACAATATATTTATTACCAATATATGCATTATTATACGTATAAACATTTACATTTTTCTTTGTAAATGACATCTGTTATGAAACTATTTTTATATAGACTATACATATGTCTTTGTATATAATGACTCTAAAACATGTAATAAAAAACCTGTGCAGTGACCCATTTGCCCTAGAGACTGACATGGTTGATATTACTACATCAAACACTTTTGCAGAATTCTCACAAGATACAATTAAATTGTGATCATGTTCATTTATATTACACTCATTCAAATAACTACCAGATGTTTCAGCATTTCTTTATAAAGTTATCAGTGTTCTGGATTTTTGCTCAAGAGAGCTCAAAATTCTCTTTTTTCAAAATTCTCATTTTTTCTATAATCCAAAATCTTGAGGGCACTGGTTAAAATAGAATGTTATATTAATGATTCATACATGACTGTATTCACGCCTTCTATTAATTGTGGACGTCAATGTTTCACCCATTCTTTCACCCATATTCGAGATCAATGCCCTGGCTCTGTACTATGTGTTTCATTCAGTGCAAAAGCTCAACCAGAGCAGGGCTACTATTTTCAAATACACCCCTTAGGGCTAGGCACAAAAACTTTCGAACAGAAAACATTTGCGCCAAGCCCTGCGGGGTGTATTCAAAAATAGTGTAGCCCTACTCTTGGTCTATATTTCTTAATTATACTGTCTGATTAAATTATTTTATTGTTTAGACTCTTGTTTCCTTCAGTCAACTATCAAGGTCTATAGTTTTCACAGTTGACCTAAGGGAGCAGTCTTGTAACAACTGTATACTGCAAGTGTATCTGCATGAATCTGCAACTAGCTGCCATTGTTTATTTGAGCATTGGTCATAAGTACTAAAAATTTCACAAAAATATATTACAGCCATCTATTAATCCTAAAATCCGTTATAAATCAACATTGATGGAATCCAGCTTAGTACTAAATCTCACAACAAAATATATTTCAGCAATATACTTATTTATCCTAAAATATGTTATAGATCAACATTGATGGAATCCACCTTAAAGTACATGATCAAAGGTGCTAGAAGTTTCACTCCTACACTTTTAACTCTATTTTTCTGGTTTTGCTTATTTTACGCCAACTGCTTAATGCTCCTTTGTTTAGTTTCTGTTTACTTTATTTCACACTGATTCCAGTCTTTTCATGAATACTTTCCATTTAAAACACAACCGCCAAATTATTTTTCACATAAGCTAAGTTCATGTAGTTGTGAGATGTTGTAAATTGATCCACTCTTTTTAATTCCTTATTCTCTTTTTATAACATTGTTCCACATTAAGTCACTCTGTGATGGTTCTGACTGGTTATGTGGTATTGAGCACAACAGGTGGGTTCCCATAAGTCCTGTGATAATTAACATAAATGCACACCAGGTCCTTTCCCATGAGCACCTGCAAAACATAATTAAAAATAACTTCAATGAAAATATTTAAAGCCACCTTGCAATTATAAATGTGTCACAATTTGTAACAGATGCGCTGAAGTGAGAAAAATGGTAGCTATGGCAACATTATGTCTACGCTTCTTGGTGGTGGCATAACATGAGAATTCCATAGGGTCACTATATGCAAGCCAAAATTTATAATGCAGAAATATGAGCCATTCTGGAGAATAAATTGAGCAAAGATGAACAGTCATGTGACCAGAATTAACCAATCATATGCTAATTAGTGTGACTTAGCAATACAGTAAAATCTATCAACTGAAACACCTCTGCAAGTGGAACATAACCTTAAGTGGAACTTTGTAAAGAGGAGAGGCTCCCAAGTGGAACACTTTGAGGTACTGAAACTATTTCACTTGCACAGGTTTTATTGTATATACTAACAATGCATTAACACATGCAAAATGTCACGACCTACCATTTGTTACACATGCCAAATGCTGAATGCCAAACACCAATTGCTGGATACCAACCGCTGAACACTGTCCACAAAAAAGTTGGAGACCATAACAATATGTCAGCACTCGACATAATTCCCTGGTCTAAATACTCACCTAATAAACTACTGAGAAATGATGCATAGGTGGCTTTCCCCGAAACAGCACCAACTTTTGCAGGATTCTTTCTAACTGTACGCACATGGAAGGCAGTCCCTTGTTCAATATTACCAGGTCCCCAAGCCTCTACCTCAACTATATGGAAATCCAACGAACTAAAAACGAATCAGGATTGTATGATTCATAAGTTTTTTAAGAAGTACCCAAAGGGTGGGCCAAAAATTAGGATAGTATGATAAATAATTTTTTACAAAGCTAGAAGGGGTGGGCCAATACTGCTATCTTTTCATATTTTTCCAGATTTTTATTTGAATGCACATTACATGAAATTTTGTTGTAATTCATGAGTATTTAAAAAGGGAACATTTAATTTTCAAAATTGTTGCCAGGTGAAAATCAGTCAGGATTGATAAAAGGTGTAAATTGACATAAAATGCTGTACAAGCAAAAATATTGTCAATTTTTTAGAATTTTACTCTCACTCATTTTTCCAAGTTAAACCACACTGCTATAAAACCTAAGGTACAGTGTAAAGCACCTCAAAAGAAAAAGGAACAACACAGGGCCTCCAAAAGACCTCCTTACTTACTTTGGTTCAGATTTCAGACATCCTTGTACATTGTCAAAGCCTAGATTGTGTGCAGCTATTGAGGCGGCAGCCATAGTGTTGACATTGTTGGGGGCAAGAGGACAGAGGCCTCGTACTGGACCTATAATATTTATGTGATCGATTAGGCCCACATAGAATGAACTACTGCAGAGAAGGATGGAGGTGATCAAGTTAAAATAGACCTGTTATTTGAGCTTTAACTTTTCTTGCCAATCACTACCCTGCGTGCAGAGTCTAGTTTAACTACACTCTGCCTAGTAGAGACCATATTACAGTTTAGTAGCCCCGCCCCCATGACGGGTACCGGTGACAGTTTGGGTAAATCACTTTTGACCTACGCGCTGACCTTCCACCAATCAGCGAGCTTGAAGAAACATACGCCAAATGCGTTCTAATTAAATATGTGCATGTCATTGGTCAATTCTGGGCTCAACGATGACGTCAGAAGGAATGACCATATAGAGAATGTCGGTCAAATTTGGCCGACAAACACTGATTGGCGCGGTGAGTTCACAGCTTTATTTTAGTTTGAAAGAGTGAAGACGAAGCTCTCTTTTTAAGAAGTGAAGTCGAACAAATGCAAAGGGTAGCCAATCACTAAATGTAAAAGGAAAGCAATGCCAAATATTTTTTATCCTGCTTTACCTTTTGCAAATGTTTAGACCTATTTTAATGCAAAATATTCATTTTCAATAAATTATTAATTGAAAATTGTCATATTGACCTACTTTGATTCAAGATGCCTAGATAACCATTCCATGTATAGGAGAAAATGCCAGATGTCATGCTTAAAACATGCATTTAGAGAGATGTATATGAACACAGGGCAGATATGAAGGGGCAGATAATGTAATTCTGATACTAAGTTACTCCAAAATGTTTTCATTTTATAATTTTAGCATTTCAGCTACCTTAAAGGGCAGTCTACTAGAATATTTTGACAGACAGATGGACAGATTTGTCATAGACTATTTCTACACTTATACAAAATATTTCTTGATTAAAGAGACAGACGGCAAGAGGGCTCTACAATATCCTTAATAACACAATTTGTTCATTTCAAAAATAACACAGTGAAGCCTGTTAAATGGAACACCTCTAGAGATGGAACACCTCTGTTAGTGGAACACTTTTCAGAGTCTCAAGACCAACTGACTTTAATGTTTAATGAACCTCTATAAGTGGAACATCTCCCAAGTTTTTAGAGGTACCAAAGGTGTTTCACTTAAACAGGTTTTACTGTTTTATCATAATACCTACCATCATATAACACTGTACAATTATCTTTGATATTTTTATTCTTATCTTCTAACTGTCCACATAGCTTTAGACTGTCTCTGTGAAATGTCATTGTAACCTTTAGTGCCTGGAATGTAAATCTTAAACTTAAAGGGGAATTCTTTGTAAAATTATTAAGCTCAAAAATGTGGCCGCCTAAGCTACCTTAAAGCGGCAGATACTTAGTTACTCCAAAATGTCTTAATTCTATCATTCAGCTACCTTAAAGGGCAATCTCTGAAATCCTGATCCTGAATCTCCAAATTGTATTTTATTCAAAATGCATGATCTGTAAGTTGCACCATCAATAGATATTGATATAACACAAGATAACATATCATGCATTCAGATCATTCAGGATTGGAATAAGAGAGACTGCCCCTTTAAGGTAGCTCAGATAATAAAATACATTAAATAGAAAACATTTAATTAAAATAAATAAATCGATTTGAATGTTCCAATGAAGTCTTTAACTAAAGTTCCATTGTTTGTGTTAAAGAGTAGCCTCAGCAGTTTACTGTGGACCAAATCATTTTATATTTGACTCAAACTTTGAGCTTAACATAACCTCAATCTACAGGGTGGGCAATAAAAAACGAGACACTTTGCGTCTTAAAAGTATTTACTGAATCATTACAAATCACCTTGACTAAACAGAAATTATTTACTCAACTGAGAATAAATACATAAATAATGTACCTGTAAAGTTCCACGGTCCGCCATCTTTTTTATGTCCTCTCCTCCCCAGAATGCACCACTAGGAATATACATCCCATGATGCTTTGCAGCATTACGTAACTTGTCTTCAGTGTCCTGGTTGGCCAGTGCAGATGGTGACCCAACCTGTAACATAATCATTTAGCATATGACATGTATGATGGTAGTTTGGGACAACTTTTGGGTCTTCTCTGTAGATTGATGCCCGTACTGTAAAATAAAATAAAATGTCAATTTAAAACTATTTCCAAAGATCCACAAAGTCACAATTGTTGGTTCAGACAAAATAATCTGATACCAGGAGAGATAAAATTGTGGCGAGCTGTGAAGTGATTGAAGCAATTTGAACTATATGATTCTACATGTAGGATGTCAATATACGATTCTACATGTACAAGTTTGATGTCAGTGTATGATTTTACATGTACAATGTCTATATATGATTCTACAAGTATGATGTCAGTATATATTTCTGTATGTATGATTTCAGTATCATATTCTACAAGTATGATGTCAGTATATGATTCTACAAGTTTGATGTCAGTATCATTATCTACAAGTATGATGTCAGTATCATATTCTACGAGTATGATGTCAGTATCATATTCTACAAGTATAATGTCAGTATCATATTCTACAAGTATAATGTCTGTATCATATTCTACAAGTATGATGTCAGTACCATATTCTACATATACAATGTTAGTATCACATTCTACAAATATGATGTCAGTTTGCAACTCTACATGTCTGATGTCAGTTTGTTAGTCTCTATGCCTGAATTTAGAATCATATTATGTAATTCCACCTGCAGGAGTTTTATTAGCAAGAGGCAACAGAAGATTTTCTCTAGTTGTTCCAAAACTGTCTCGCAGGAGAAATTGCTGAAAACTATAGAGCCCTAAATGAGTTATTTCCTTTCATGGAATGACATTCTTATTGTTATATGCTTATTGATTAAATTAGTCTTCCCTTCAGCACTATAGTGATCAATAGTGTATAGGAAACAAAACATTGTAGATTGTACAGTGTATCATTGCACAAAAAATAGATTATTTAACCTTCATTTTTGTTTCCCTCAAATATGTTTTGATAAGCCATCAAAACTTTCAGAACTTCACGTGGGCATCTCCACATTGGATTACAAGACTTCTGGTTCTTATCATCAAAATGTGGAATTTCCAACCTCTATGAGAAAAAAAATAAGAATAGGGGAATGACTAATTGTTTTTCCCACTTTCTATTCATTCTCAATACAAAACATGATTCACACATAGAAATTCCATTTTTGAAACATCCTTAATCAATAAACACGATTATGCTTTTGTTGGCCAGGTTTTATTGATTTGGAAGCATACTGAGCTAGCATCTCATTATAATAATAATTACCTTTATAGCTCTTATTATAAGAACTTCCCAGAACTATTAAGAGATCAATAAAACTGCGAATATACACAAACTGACTAATAGAACTGTATATATTACTGAAAAAACATATTCTTTTATACACATTTTTCAAGACATAATGGCAGCCTACAATGATGAATTACCTATAATTGAGGTTGAACAAATTGATGAAGATGATAATGGGATGAACACACCTGTAGGTGACCCTTATGGTATTGAGGTCATTGTTGATGTCGAACAATGTGTTAACAACCAACATGATGGAAATGATGATAACATAGTTAATGCCCTTGTGGGTGATGCACTGGACATCGAACTAGAAGAAGGGAAGGAGTATCATTTATTCTTCTGTCACTCATCTGTGGATCTAGCCTGGGTCTGTAAAGTGGTTCAAATTCTTGAGGCTGCGCCATATAACCTTAAATGTGCATTCAGTGAGCGTGATTTCTTGCCAGGTCAAAATGATATGAACGAGATGTTTCGTTGTATCACAGGCAGTATGAGGACTGTGTTTGTGTTGACGCCTGCATTCAACGATAGTCGCTGGTGTGAGTGGGAAATGCAGATGGCACAAACTGCATCTGTTGCTAATAACATCAGCTTGCTTCCTATTATGCTGCAAGAATGCCTAGTGCCTGACACAATAAAGCACATCAACTACATTGATGTAACAAATGGAGATGTTCCACAAGCTGCCATGAAGCTACAGAAGAATGTACTGAATCCTCCTCAAGGTTTCATCCCACAGAACAATATGTTACGCATCAATGGATTTTCATTTCCACTTGAAGAAAAAATTATTAAAAATGGATGTTTTAAGACCCAATTACAATTTGGACTACCACCAAATGGTATAGATGCTTTAGAACAAAAGGGTATAATGATACCAAAAGAACAGATAGATGAAATATTACACACATTGAATCATCATGGACCCAGTATAAGAATCAGTAGAACAACTCCAATCAGGCTTGCATGTTATGTAATGCTGACCATGATAGGGCTTGGATGGCTAATTTTTTGGATGATATTTGCTGTTTCGTCTGCATCTCCAATTAGACAGACATCTAATAATACAACTTGCATATTTTCTGCAGCAATTTCGGATGTGACCTTGCAGTGTTCTAGTCCGATTCCGATCATTCTTAGCATAAGCTTTATTTTGTTAGGACTTTTCCCATTAGGGGCATTAATCGCATACATAGTCAAAAGAAAAGTGATACTGAAAAAAGTTATTGCTTTGATACTGGATATTTCTTTGAAAACAATGGCCGACTACAAAATGTTTATATATCCCGCAAAGACAGGAGAATTTCTGCGTATCGTAAAATATGACATCAACCCTTGTTGGCAGCATTTGATTCAACAAGAAGATCCCAACATCGAAACTCTTGACATCGACAACTGGAAACTGAACCTCACAAAATCTGAATTTCGCCTTTATATGGAAAAACTTATGATGGGATCTTTAAATATGGCCCCAGCAGTGAAGCATCAGACTATTAATTACCATGTATGCTTTTGCCAATTTGTCCTCGCCAAACATTCACAAATGTTTGTTCAATGAAGATATATTAAAGTCTGTTCATAAGGCCATTTTTAACTAGCAATTTATTTTCATGGCCTTATTTCCAGTAATAAGATATGTAAATAGATATGTTTTGCATAGAATATCAATGTGACTTTGACAGTCTGAGATTCACTGAGTAATATCATTGTGGCTGATGGATGATGAGCCTTGTGGGTGATGCACTGGACATTGAACTAGAAGAAGGGAAGGAGTATCATTTATTCGAACATGACTGTATTCACGCCTTCTATAAACTGTAATCAAAGTCAATGCTTCAGCTGGGTTATATTCGAGATTAATAACCCAGTTAAAACGTGTAATGTGTGACGTCATAACGGTGGGTCGTAGTAATGGCGGACCATGATGAATATTCGAAACAATTTGGTGAATTTTCATGTTCGAATCGTAATATAGACCTCAGAGCAGGGTTACTAGTTTCGAATAACACGCCGCTGGTCTCGGCACAAAAGCTTTCGAACCCCTCACTCCCTTCGGTCGTTCGGGGTACAGAAAACGTTTGTGCCGAGACCAGCTGGGTGTTATTCGAAACTAGAAACCCTGCCCTTTGGTCTATATTTCTTAATTCTTCTGTCACTCATCTGTGGATCTAGCCTGGGTCTGGAAAGTCGTTCAAATTCTTGAGGCTGCGCCATATAACCTTAAATGTGCATTCAGTGAGCGTGATTTCCTGCCAGGTCAAAATGATATGAACGAGATGTTTCGTTGTATCACAGGCAGTATGAGGACTGTGTTTGTGTTGACGCCTGCATTCAACGATAGTCGCTGGTGTGAGTGGGAAATGCAGATGGCACAAACTGCATCTGTTGCAAATAACATCAGCTTACTGCCGATTATGCTGCAAGAATGCCCAGTGCCTGACACAATAAAGCACATCAACTACATTGATGTAACAAATGGAGATGTTCCACAAGCTGCCATGAAGCTACAGAAGAATGTACTGAATCCTCCTCAAGGTTTCATCCCACAGAACAATATGTTACGCATCAATGGATTTTCATTTCCACTTGAAGAAAAAATGATTAAAAATGGATGTTTTAAGACCCAATTACAATTTGGACTACCACCAAATGGTATAGATGCTTTAGAACAAAAGGGTATAATGATACCAAAAGAACAGATAGATGAAATATTACACACATTAAATCATCATGGACCCAGTATAAGAATCAGTAGAACAACTCCAATCAGGCTTGCATGTTATGTAATGCTGACCATGATAGGGCTCGGATGGCTAATTTTTTTAAATATTTGTGCTTATTATTCTTTATATTCAGTTAGACAGCCATCTAACAATACGACTTGCATATTTAATCTTTTTCCGGATGTGACCTTGCAGTGTTCTAGTCCGATTCCGATCATTCTTAGCATAAGCTTTATTTTGTTAGGATATTTCCCATTAGGGGCATTAATCGCATACATAGTCAAAAGAAAAAAAATACTGAAAAAAGTTATTGATTTGATACTGGGTATTTCTCTGACCACACTGGCAGACTACAAAATGTTTATATGGCCTGCAAAGAAAGGCGAATTTCTGCGTATCGTATATTATGACATCAACCCTTGTTGGCAGCATTTGATTCAACAAGTAGATCCCAACATTGAAATTCTTGACATCGACAACTGGAAACTGAACCTCACAAAATGTGATTTTCCTCTTTATATGAAAAAACCTATGACGGGATCTTTAAATATGGCCCCAGCAGTGAGGCATCAGACTATTTATTACTATGTATGCTTTTGCCAATATGTCCTTGCCAAACACTCACAAATGTTTGTTCAATGAAGATAGTCTATATAGTCTGTTCATAAGGTCATTGCAGGTAAATTGTCTGTTCAAGAGGAATAATTATGTAAAAATACTCTACTGTTAGATTTTTTTGATTTACTGTATTTAAAATACAGGGTGTCCCAAATGTAGCAGTAACACAAATAACAAAATGCCAGCACCAGTTCTGGTATTTTTTATATGTTAAAATGGTAAGAAAAGCGCTAAATAATAATAATGTTGATTGTATCATATATGATAGGTGGCAGCACTCGTTTAGTAATAACACATGAAATTTACTCCTGATAATACAGCCAAATTACAGGGAACCAACTAACTTTGTGAATATTGGATTATATAGGAGAGTTCATAAAGGTTCTGAGAACATGCCTACTAAATAATATGGACATACAGGACTGAATGAGCATTAGAAAAGTGAAGGAACATTTTCTCAACTCTAGACAAAGACATTTTGCAGTATAGTGGAACACACCATCTTGCCAGGCTGCTATAAGGAAGCCAATTTGTGAACACATAAAAACACAAACACTTAGCTATGGCAGGTCCAGTAATAGGCACAGTTAGCCAACTTATTGGATCACCAGACTCTTACTCACAGCCACTTAATGAATCTTATGAGTCTGTGGAAGGAACATTAGAGTTGAATAACACCAGCCTAATTGGCAATGCAGGCACACAACAGCTACCAGTATCTCAGATTGGACTGCTAAACAGCCCAGAATCTCAAACTCCAACAGTGTCCCAAATTGGCCTGCCTACTAGCCAATATACACCAGTGCATGGTTCTCCTAATGACTCACCACGTAATACATCCACTGCCACCCCTCCCCACACACAGTTACAGCCTAGTGCCAGTGCAATAGTAACTGGTATTGTTAATAGACTTCGCACCCGACGCCGTATCAATGTAACTGCACATACCTCTGGTACAACCATCAAGAAACGCCGTGGACGACCACCTAAAGCAAAAACCAAAGCAAAACCAGCCCCCGTCCCTGGCAATACCGGAGCCACCTGCGACTTAGCCACTGTTATGATGATGATCAGAGACCTAACCGAAAGTGTAAACGAGCTCCACGCCTTGAACAAAACAAACTCTGACCTAGTTAAGCAACTAGCGCGTAAGTCGGCAGACAATGAGGAGCTCCATAAGGAAAATGCTGCACTCAGGGGCCAGATCAAATCTAACGCAAACCTGCCTAAGCCAAAATCCCTGCTTATTGGTTCATCTATTCTGCGCGATGTTGATGAAACCAAACTTGAAAACACTGATGTTACATGTATACGCGGTGGAACTATATCGGATGTACACAAGCGCCTGACTGAGAAGGCTGATAGATACGACAAAATCTACCTTCAGATCGGCAGCAATGACTGCAAGCGTAACTCCGATGTCGAACTCATATGTGAGAATTATAAGATGCTACTTAAGGGAGCCAAACAGTGCTGCGAATCTCTGGTTGTATCAAGCATTACGCCAAGATTAGATGACAACGAGGCCCAAGCGCGTGTCGAACAGGTCAATGGCTTCCTCATTTGCCATTGTATTGATGAAGATGTCAAGTACATAGACAACGACACAACATTCAAGTTACAAGATGGCTCCATCAACGATGGTTTCCTTGCGCCTGACCATCTACATCTTGCTGACGCGGGAACAAATCGGCTAATTAAGAACTTGAATATAAAGACTAATATGTCCGATATAACCAAACCCAAAGAAACTCGTTTCCCTCCACGAAGACCCAACCAGAAACCCAATGAACAACTAAGGCAAACCAGAAGCACAGCACCACCCCCCATGAACAGTCAAACATACGAGGCCCCGCATCAACCACCCAGAAGACCTTCTACCCATGCCACACGTAGACCTCCCAACCATGTTCCTCAAAGACCCTCCAAAAACTCTAATCCTAAACCCTCCCTGGACGGTTACATACAAACAAACAAGCCCAAGCAAAGCAATGCTTACCAGCCCCCCAGGCAACATTCCAATATGAACACTGACAATGTGCAAAAATGCTTTAAATGCAGTGAGACTGGGCACCTAGCCAATTCTTGTTGGCACCCAGCCATGGTACGCTGCCACGCCTGCAAGGAACTTGGGCATAAGCAATCCAATTGCCCTAACACCCACCAGCACCATAATGGACAGTCTAAGCTTAATGCTAACCACGCAAATTTAGCTGGTCTCAGACACTCATATAATAGTGAACCTAATTATGTGCCTAGCCTCTTGACCAGCAATAGGTTTTCTGTATTAGCATAATGTGACGCCCCTGAATCATAATTACCATACTCCCCCTTCAAATGAATTAGGTCCTAGAAGGGAGATCCGGCACCGCCATAGACGCTCGAAAAAAGGCAGTAAGAGGAGGCAAGATGTAAATGGGAATATGAAATTCGCGTTTAATAATGTCCAGGGGTTGGGGCTCGCTAAACAACAAGAACTTAAACACTTTTTAGAATCCAATAAGATATCCATAATGGGGATTACAGAATCATTCCTTAATGACCAATCTACCATCACAACATCCACCGAAAGTCATAGTTTTCATAGCAAACCTAGAGGAAGGCGCCGAGGTGGTGGTATTGGTTTTTTCACTCAAAAAGAAACGGTGAAAATTTTGGACGATAATTTGCTTGAGTCTAAAACAGATGATTTTGAACGCTATTGGATGCGTGTCAAGATTGGTCATTCCACTTTATGCTTATGTGTGGTTTACTACCCCAATGATGGTTTAAACATTGAACTTACTAACCAACTTACCGATGAACTTATTATGAACGTAGCTACATTAGATGCACAGGGGAATCATATATGCATCATGGGTGACTTTAATGGTAGACTCCCTCAGTTTAGAAATAGCACTAGGGGAAGCCCCAATGGTGATTCTCTTCAGCTTCTCTGTGAAGTCTCAGATTTACATATCCTTAACCTTAAGCCAGAATGTGTAGGAACCCACACATGGTTTCGTAATAACCTTGTCTCTACGATTGATTATGTCCTTATGAATGACAGTTTACATAATGTTTTCAAAGGAATGTATATCGATGAAGCTGGCAACATGAGTATTGGCAGCGACCATTGTATGATTACAATAGACCTTAAATTTCAACCAACCATAACGCCGAAAGCTGTCCACACACAACGTCAGGCCCCTAATGTTCCCAAAATTTGGAAAATTGAACCAAATACAAATTGGCCAGTTTTCAGAGCCGAGCTTGAATCCAATTTCAACGACTGGGATCCCTCTGAGTTCAATTCACCAAATGAAATGTGGGTTGCATGGAAAAATAAAGTCTTAAGTATTGGTGAGAATGTCATTGGGTTTAAAACTATTTCAAACAAACTGAGATCTTTTTGGGATGAAGAATTGAATAAGCTCATAAATAATCGTAGGGAGGCAAACCGTTTTTGCAGATTCTGGAGATCATCCGGTATCTATGATATAGATGCTTTTCATGATCTTTGGAATATCTATCTCGAAAGAAAAGACCGCGTCTCTAAGTATATTAAGAATAAGATGGTAAATCACCACATTAATGTTATAATAAAAAATGCAGGTAAGAAATGTTCTAATGACAGGTCCTATTGGAATACCCTTAACATGTTCAATAGGAACAATAACAGCCCAATAAAAATTGCCCATCCAGAATATCCTGATATTATCATTGACGACCCCAAGAAAGTTGCCGTTATTTTAAAGGAATATTGGAAAAATGTAGGGGAAAAGAGCAGAAACATTGAATCCTCCGGTATCCCCAATGATTTAAGCAATTCTATTGACCATGAGTTCAACCTTGTTGACCCAGATAACCCCAATGCTAATATTTTGGATCAGGTTGATTTTAACATCGAAACCCTTGACAGCCATATCAAGAAGTTATCTAATGGGAAAGCGGTTGGCACTGATCTAATCCCTAACGAATTTATGAAATATGGAGGCCCAATCATAAGTGAAACTTTAACCGATATATTTACTAAATGCAAACATCTCGAATCTTTTCCCGAACAGTGGAAGGAAGGAATATTAAAGCCCTTCCACAAAGGAGGGGACCCACACGACCTTAACCTTTTTAGGGGTATCACAATCACTTCCAATGTTTTCAAATTGTTTTGTTCAATAGTTAATAAGGATCTTATAAATTTTTGCGAAGCGGAAAATATTTTCAGTGAATTCCAAGGAGCCTTTAGAAAAGGCCACCGCCTCGAAAATAATATTTTCACAATGAAGTCAATCTGCAGCCTTAGAAAAAGTAGCCGTCAAAAGACATTTTTGTCTTTCCTAGATATATCTAAAGCATTTGACGTAATAGATCGCGACTTAATGTTTTTAACCCTATGGAAGAAAGGTATAAGAGGCAAGATATGGAGATTGATTCGGGAAATGTATAACGATAATAAAACAAAAGTCGTATTTGGTGAAGGTAATGAAACGGAATGGTATTCTAGTTCTTTCGGAGTAAAACAGGGCTGTGTGCTCTCTATAACACTGTTTTCAATCATTATGTCCGATCTCCAAGACCAGCTATTAGCGGCCAACATGGGAGTGAAATTGAACAAACAACACATTCCCTCTCTAATGTTTGCCGACGATATTGTGCTCTTTGCTACGTCAGAACAAGAATTAAAAACAATGCTCGCGATAGTAAATTCTTTTGCAATTAAATGGGGGTTTTCATTTAGCGAAAGAAAATCCAAAGTCATGGTTGTCGGTCAAAAAACAGATAAAGGTAAAGAATGGCCCTTTGGTGACTTGAAACTTTCAGAAGTTCAGTCATACAAGTATCTTGGGTATTATTTTAACAAAAACTTACAAGATACTGAACACATAAACCTAATGATACCTAAATCCAAGAAGCTTAACGGTTTTATTAATTACACACTCAATAAACACCTTAATGTAAAACGCCTCGAATTCGGTACACAGCTATATAAAAGTAACTTTCTATCGAGTATACTTCACTCATGCCCAATCTGGGCATCCGATACAAAAACCAATGACTCAAACTTAAAATCCATGCAGTATAATGCTGGGAGAGCAATTTTAAGTCTTAAAGGTACCCCAGCCTATGAGGCTATTATAGCAGACCTTGGTTGGTCTCCAATTAAATTTGTCATCCTTAAAAGGCAAATAGAATACTTTTTGTATGTAAAATACCATAAGCCTCATTCGCTTAACGCATTTCTCTTATCCCAAATGGAGAAGCGGATGCAATGTGGAACTAGAAATCCTTGGAATTATGTACATTTTATGCATAGCGCATTGATTAAGTTAGGTTTCTCAGCTGGGAGTAAAGAGCCAGAGGAAAATATTAGAAGATTTTACACAGAAAGAATTCATAAAATGTCTAACGATTACATATCGGAGGGAGTTGCAAAGAAAAGCAGTCTTAACCTTTACAATTCCCTAAATTTACAGCCAGACAATGGTTTAGCGTATTATCTTCAAAATGATTTCGACTTCAAAAGTGCCCGCATTAAGTTCCTTGCACGTGCAGGGAAGTTCAACTTGCGAGATGAAAAGAGTAAATGGAAGAACATAGTCCCCCCATATCTCCCACGTGCGAATGGTGCCCAGACACAATAGAAAATCTGGAGCATAGACTTACGATATGCCCACAATTTCAAGCTGACCGAGCTATTTTTCATGAAACTATAAGCAAAACGATACCCAAAAATCTTTCTGACATATTCTTCGAAAGTCCTCCCCTACAGCAGTTAAAATGGATTATCGGGGATGAGGCTTATAACCTAGGTGGACACGATATGGGTCACACTTTTGACAACATTAGTAAATGTTTTTTAAAGTCAGTTTTTTAGCATAACAATTATTTTAGTACTTTAACAGACTACATAAAGCTGGTTTTAAACATGTTTTAGAAAAAATGCTAATATTGTATGTAAATGTTCAACTGGACGCACACAATTGTAGTGCCGCTGTTATAAAAGCGTAGAATCCAAATAAATAAATAAAATAAAATAAAAAATATGATATTTATATAATTATATATATATTGTATAATAGTTAGAAATAACCATCTACAAAATGTTCAACTGAAATGGGTATATAATATATTATTACCACCTTGCCGGGCCAGTTCTAGGGGTTTTAGTGCTAGTTTAGAAGGCATTCATTTTACTATATCAACCTGAGCAATATGTGACGCCATAGTGGTGGTCAAGAATGCATTTAACGACCGGCAATTTCCCCCGGGAAATTAGATATCGTTCAGTGCGTAAGATTTTCTTGCTGTTTCAGTCCTGGTCATTAATGGTGGTAATAATACTAATAACGTCATTTCTGCGGGCAATATAGTGAAATATTATTGGTCAGGTTTTCGCATTTCAAAACATCCCAGAAAGCTTCAATTGTAATCCCATTTTCAAATTCACATATATAATATAGAATCAACAGTGATGTGTGATGTTACGATTTTTTAATTGTTTGTTTATAAATGCTCGATGGGTAAATATGTGACTGATGTCATAAGTTCAGAAGTTATGTGATACTTCATATCTTCGAATCATAATCATATCATTTGATGACTTGGCTATTGCCTTGATAATTTGCCACATAAGTTAAAAAAGGTCATGTGAATCATCAAAGCCTGTTCCATAGTACGAAGGAGACCGCCAACCTCATGGGGCTTTCGTAAAAAAAATATAAAAAATATATAAGTATTAAATAATTATTTTTGATAACTGGTTTAAAGAGAAAAATGTTGAATTTAGTTCATCATAATAGTCCCTAAAAAATGTTGAATTTAGTTCATCATAATAGTCCAATAAAGAATGAATCAGGATTCTTTATTACTTAAATATAATACAATCCTTATATCTAAAATGCACTATTGTAATTAGTCCTTATGCAAAACATTAATCCAAAATGCACTATAACTAGTCCTTATGCATAGCATTAATCCAAAATGCACTATAACAAGTCCTTATGCATAGCATTAATCCAAAATGCACTATAACAGTCCTTACGCATAGCATTACTCCAAAATGCACTATAACAAGTCCTTATGCAAAACATTAATCCAAATGCACTATAACTTGTCCTTATACAAAACATTAATAAAAATGCACTATAACTAGTCCTTATGCATAACATTAATCTGTAATGCACGATAACTAGTCATTATACAAAACATTAATGTATAATATTAATCTCATATGTAATATATTAATCATACATTATATTAATCTAAGATGGACTGTATTAATCTCATATGCACAATAATAATTTCAGATACACTATAGTAATCTTAGATAAACTATAATACTCTACATTCTATAGTAATTAAAAAAGCCCTCATATTAAGTTTAAACCACTTTGGCTTATATTGTAGTCTTACCCAATTTTCAAATGTGATGTGTGAAACCTTTTTTTTTTAATTTCAAAAAGTGGTTTTTGACTTTTTGTTCGAAAAATCTTGATTTTTAAAACTTCTAGAGGTCTTTTAATAAGCAATAATTCATACTAATGCATAGCATTCATCCACACATGTTTTTTGCCGAAAATTTAGAAAATCGGAAAATCAATGCATAAAATGGATCATAGAAAAATACATTTTGAAATTTTAGTTCTCAAAGAAACCATGGGATTTCAACTAGAAAATCGGAGCAAATGTGACCAAGGCATTAGATATGGCATTTTATTATTGAAATAGTGTGCCTTTTGTTCAATCTATGCATTGGTGTTAAACATGTAATATATTTGAAATGTATGATGGAATAGTTGATATTTAAATAAACAATGAGTAAAAGAATTAGTAAATGAATGATAAAAACATATTTTCAAACTTTACATGGGGACTTAAATCATATACAGTAAAATCAGTTAAGTGGAACTCCTTTGGTACCACTTAAAAAGTATTCTACTTGGGAGGTGTTCCACTTATAGAAGTTCATTTAACATTAAGTCACTTGGTCTCGGGACTCCAATAAGTGTTCCAATAACAGAGGTATTCCACCTCTACAGGTGTTCCACTTTACAGGCATTCCACCTCTACAGGTGTTCCACTTTACAGGTTTCACTTTAATAACTTATGCTCTATATTAATTCCTAGGCATTTTAACTGTGTGTAAAACCTTTGTAAAGCAAACTCATAAATCACATAGTCATCTGCCAGAAACTCTTTCATTAAAGCTATTGTATCATTACTCGGACGTAGTTTATTTTTAGCCACATTCATTTTAGGCATTCGATTGTTCAAATCCACTAAATCATTCCCAAATATACCAAATATTTTCTGTAGAGCTTCGATGCTTTCTGAAAAGTGTTCAAGTATTCCTAGAAATGTGTAATATTTTTCGATGTACTGCTTCGCTTTGTTGATATACGCATTTGTATGACCAGAGAACCATTCAATGTAAGGTTTAGGTTTGAAACAGTATTGTGGGCTCTCTTTCCTCGCATTAAGTAATAACTGTCGTTGGGCCGAATTACATCCTGTGGGCATATTACAACGGGCACGAAAAATATTTGATCTAATTAGACAATCTCCAAGCTTGGTATTGATGTCACTGTCAGGAATATTATGCACCTTTTGTTGAAATCCAGATGACCTTGTAAAATAATACAATGATATCCAACGTTCGAGAGGGTCCCGGAGAATATCGATGAACAATGGTTGTTTGAGATTAGAGTCTGAGAAATCAAGAAACTGTACATGTGTGGATATAATTGTCGGGATCAGATTGTCATTATTGGATGTTAATCCATTTAGGTATTTCTGGTATTTTTTCCGTGTTTCTTTTATCCCGAGTTTCAGTGTCATATTATGCTGGCTCATATGGTAGCATTTTTGTGTACGCAAACACGAATTTTCGAAAAGCTCCCTTAATGTTGTCCCACCACATTTTGGTATTTTACTGTATATTATGAGACGTTCATTACGGTATTTCGTTTCATACCCAGGGAGCATACATTGTAGTTTAAATCTCTCCTCACCGTCAACTTTCCTATCCTTTCTTCCATATAAGGGCATTTTTTCCCCAGGTCGTGACTGCTCTATTTTCTGATTCAATCTCTGCTCAACTTTCTTATCCTTTCTTCCATATAAGGGCATTTTTGCCCCAGGTCGTGACTGCTCTATTTTCTGATTCAATCTCTGCTCAACTTTCCTATCCTTTCCTCCATATAAGGGCATTTTTGCCTCAGGTCGTGACTGCTGCATTTTCAGATTCATTCCCTGCTTGTGTTCCTTTGCCCTTTTTGAAAGCTGTAGCTTATGCCATTGCTTATATTTAAATCTGCCTGGGTGTATAGCATTGTCCTTCCATTGTAAATGTATATAGAGAAACATATAAGATATACAGCAGCATGAGACAACTATCGTCAAGGTAAACAGCAAATATTGTTTAACATCCATTTTAACAGATTGCATAGAATGTTCAACTAAACTAAAGTCACCGCGGGTTATTATCCTCCTAGCAAAGACATTCGACTGAATTACACATTTTCGCTGCAAGTTAAATTCTCATTGTGCTGAGATTGTCAATTAATTCACAAGTTTTCACTACTAATTCACTTCATTTGTTGCTGAATCCATTCTTTCTTCATCTTTGAAAACAAGAGGGTCATGCTATATTACTATTATCATATTATTAAGTTATATCCCATATTTACTACTGCACTGCATGTAATGGTTACAGTTAAATAAGATTTATTCACAGCTGGTTGAATATGCCATGAACCTGAACATAAGTTAAGATATTATATGTGTATGGTATAAATAGACGGCAATTTCATACATCTTTGAACAAGGAAGCTACAAGTGGTCCTCCCCTTGGATGGAGTCCCATTTCAGCAGTCCTGTCATTTAAACATGTTCAAAATAATTTTTAAAAAAATAATGTGACATGTATAGTAGCCCGGACAGAATTGTTCAAGAGTCACTTTTTCTTTAATAACTTTTTTTTATTTTCAGTATTATCAAAATCTGATTACATATTTTATAATCTATTTGCTTGTAAAATATCAAGGAACATTTTTTTTTATAGTTGGGACCGTTGGGTTGCTCAGTTTGTAATTTAATCATTTGGATTAATATTTTTACGATGTACATAACTTCATAAACTAGATGGAGTCCCATTTCAGCAGTCCTGTCATTTAAACATGTTCAAAATAATTTTTTTTTAAATAATGTGACATGCATAGTAGCCCGGACAGAATTGTTCAAGAGTCACTTTTTCTTTAATAACTTTTTTTTATTTTCAGTATTATCAAAATCTGATTACATATTTTATAATCTATTTGCTTGTAAAATATCAAGGAACATTATTTTTTATAGTTGGGACCGTTGGGTTGCTCAGTTTGTAATTTAATCATTTAGATCAATATTTTTACGATGTACATAACTTCATAAACTAGATCATCAAATCATTAGAATACTTTCAAGGCAGGTGCTTATGCCAGTCAAAATGTCAAACCTTGCAGAACCCATGCATTTTCTGGTTCAATTTCAACAAAATATTTTGCAACTCCATTTAACATTTCCAGCATGGGATAAAAAATAAATTGACAATCATTATTGGAATATCTTGAAAAACATAACACATTTATATAAACTTCTATTTATATTATTCTATCTCTAAATAAAAACAGTCTCTTATCTAATGATATACATGTTTGACCTTTTTGTTGGGACAATAATGCATTGCTCCAAAAAGAACGAGATCATAATCACCAATACTCTTCATAGAGACTGACATTGATATCAAAAAAATGTTTACAAGATTTTACAAGATTTTACTAAAGGATGGGTATCAATATGGCAAACATTTTGAACACACGTTTCTCTTAAACTAGTCATCAAAAAATTCTGAAAATTTTACACATTGTCAATTTAATGGTCATCTATTGAATGGTAACAATATAATTTGAAATAGATATATATGCTTTTCTCTATATTGTTTTAGAAAATACATCGGACACTTCTTTTGTTCTTGGTATCATATGTTCGGAATGAAATGAAACATCTATCCGAACCTCATTGGAACAAAATGACATAAACACAATGGTCTCTCAATATTGTAATTATACAAAGGAAAGTTTGGTTGATTTAAAAAAAGTATCTTGTTAATGAAATTAAAGGCTTATCTTAGTTTTTATCTATTTCAGGGGTATTTGTTTTAATTTTTTGAATACTTTTTGTTAAATCAAACAAAATTTCCTTTGTACGACTATTATATTGGGAAGTGTAAGAAAATGTTGTATATGCTATTTTGTTCAAACAAGCTTCGGAAAGATATTTTATTTCATTCTCAAGAAATGGTAAAAAGGAAAAAAAAACAATTGCACTAAAAAACAAAAATGTTAACAAAAACAGTTATATAAAATATATAAAAATTATTTTCACATTAATTGTTGTCAATAAGTCAATGTTACATAAAGGACCGTGTTTTTTACAGAATGTTTTCAATAATTGGTTTCAGAGAAAAACATTGTTGAATTCAATTCTCCATATCGATACCAATCCTTTACAAGTTTTACAAGGTCTACTAGATTTACTAGATTTACAGTCTTTTCTCATGCACAAGCAATGCTCAAGTAAATTATGTGAGTGGCCATGCATTTTGAATTAAAAGTAAAACATTTTGATAATCTTTGAATCATTTAAACTTCAACACAGACTGAAATTGCTCATTAAAACATATTTGAACATTAGTAAGTTTTGTATATAAGGCATAGCAGCACTAAAAGTGCTTGGACATAACTTTCCTTTGAAATTTTAAGATGGAAGATAAATATCAAGATGGAATGACCGGCAGATAAACAGATGTAGGGCTTCTCAATATCCCAACACAAACTTTCAGTTGGGTATAAGGAATAATGAAGCACAAATGCCAAAGAAAAAGGACCAAAACTTCTAAAGAAACCTAGTAAGAAAACCAAACTCTAAGCATAAACCTGTCATAAGAAAAAAAGACCTTATATATCCCAAAAACTGTGATCTAACGCAAGATAAATGTCTAACATCCACCGTCCCCTTAAAATTGAGAACAATAGATAAAACACCTCTTCCTTTAATGTCATTTGACCTAATTTGTTTTTTCTTTTCTTTTCCAACTATAGGCTTTCCACCCAAGCTTACAAGTATACTTAAGAATCTGATATAACATGAAAAAGAACAATAAAAACACGAGGAGAATATCGATCATTAACCACTGGTACCAAGGCATGTTTAAAGAAACTGGTTTCAAATGAGAACCGCCAAATTTCAGCACGTGGTTTACCCAGAATGCAATTTCCTGTAGTGGATCAGGAAGATCATCCAAGATCGCCTTCGCTTTGAGAAGATAATCTTTGTATGTTTTATTATCAATCATTTCATTTATGTTCTGTACCAGTTCATCAGATGTGAATGTGTTAAAGTCCATAACAAGTCCATAGCCTCTAGCCTTTGCACGTTCAGCATTATGCATCTGGTCTAGAACAAGGGGGAAAGTGATCATTGGTACAGCATGGGCAACACTCTCTAATTGGCCACTGTTACCTCCATGCGTGATAAACAGTTTTGTATTGGGATGTCCTAAAATATCATTCTGGGGCACCCATTCCATTAAGATCACATTGGAAGGTTTGTTCAGTGGTGCAATACCTTTGTATCTCATCACAATATGTTGATTTATGCGTGAAAATGCCTCCATTAGTTTTGACATTATGTGATCGGGGAATGAATTTATTGCAGACCCGAATGATAGGAGTATTGTCCCATGCTTTGCCTGACCAACAAATGTTGAAAGATCTCCTTTTAATGGTGAAACATTTTTTGCTGTAAAGCCTCCTACTATTTTATAAGCAGGATGTGACAAACGGGGATATTCCAATATGTGGTGTTCCATCATGACAAACCACATCTCGGATTTTCGATGTAAATCACCGATGCAAATCAGCGGCTTATGAGGAACATATTTTCTCAATAACTCCTCAAAATGGGAATCTGAAAAAGTTGGCGTCGAGGTATAGAATGCCAGAGTCAATAGAAAATTCTTCATTCGCTGAGTGAAGGTCATGTGATCTGATCCTGAGAAATGAAAATGTGGTTCAAATGAAGGTAATGAGGGTACGGCCGCACGCAATGGTTCTGGTAATGGAAAAAGAGTTATGAATGGAACATCATGTCGGTATGGTATAATGTATTGAATGCTGTTGGTGTGAATTCCATCTAAAATCATCAGGTCAAACTTTGCATCAGATATTCTTAATGTCATTTCCTCATCTTCAAGAAGTCTCTCTTGATCAGCATAAATTTTTTCAGCAAATCCTTTGAGCAGCTTGATTTTGGCAAAAGATCCCATATCAATTGCAATTTCATTCACTTTATCTTCCATGTTATCGTGTTCCCAAAATGATGCAAAATTATAGTACCAACCTTCGATTTTTGAGTATTTTTCCAAAATTTTCTTCATCCTTGGTGCGGTAAGAATGGTCACATTATGTCCTTCAGAACCAAGTTTTTCTCCAAGTATCGCAAGTAAGTTCACATGGTTGTAGTGGTCAATAGGAAGAAATAATATCCTATAGGAATCCACAGAGATTAACCTCCAGCAAAAAGCCAAAAAGGGTAATGCAATATCCTTAAAGTTCATAATTCTGGTATATATTTGAAACCAATCTGGGTCAACAATGAGCCATAGAGACAACAATCATTGAGAAAATCGTTACAAAAAGTTCTGGTTGTATTGACACAGCCAGTTCAACGATTTCTCTTAAACATAAAAAGTGTATATGTTTTATAAAGCTAAGTCAGGGTCATGTTAAGGGCATATTGAAATATGATTTTGAATATTGATAATGAAAGTTCTATGAACAAACACAAAGAGGCAATAATGCTCTCATTGATATCTGTAGTCTGCATGCTATTTCAAAATACAAATGTTTTATCAGAATATTAGTTTTTGTAAGATCATAACTTAATTTTATGTTGAACTTTTTGAAGAAGTTTCGGGTTACCGAGCTCAGTGTCCTCCTTTTAAAAGCAAATTACAGTTTATTCAAATTGAGCTTTGGGTCAATATAACCTAAAAAAAAAAATGTCAAAAGACACACAGTGTCAATTACACAATTACATATCAGATGCAAAATGTTTGTATATTTCAGATAAAGGGTGACCCAAAATGAATGCAACCAATAAATGTGCTTGTCATTTCTATAACAAACTAGAAAAAAAAAAACATTGTCAGGGAGAAGCAAATGCCACCTAACAAAACCTGTTTTAATAAATAGCAGCAATCTTGAAAATTTCTTAATATAAGCATTCGAACCAAATCAGTCCACTTGTGGCGGATATTTTGCAGCGAATTTCTTCTTGAGCAGAGCTCCTTTGTCACTAGGCATGAGCACACAAAATTTGAACCAAATCCATCAACAGGTATTTGGGTTATGAAAGATTACATTTTTACAACAGCTCCTTTACAGTTCCTTTGTCCCTAAGCATCTGCATATAAAAGGACCAGGTGCGTTTATTGGCAAATACCCCTATGGTCAAAATAAATAATTCTTAGGTGTAACATGAAGAATAGAATGTTATATCACTCTTTGGAAAATATTAAAGTGCTCGGGCACACATAGGCTGAGATAGGGGCCATTTAGTTCAGTAAGGTTGTATTGACTTACATGGGGCTGTGCATCATTGACTTAACATGAGGATATCAGCAGATCCCAAATTTTCAATTGGTTTCAATTGATTGTCACAAAAATACACTATGACCTGAATCGATTGCAAACTTAATAATTTCACAATATGACACAAATTGTTTATCTCATCAAATGTGCAAATATGAAGTTTGCAATCGATTCAGGTCATACTTAAAATTAAAAGATTGTGCATTTTTTCATCATTTTTTCCCCTACAAAATGGCTATAGAAAAATGCTCCAAAAACAACTTTTACACTTATCAAAAATCATACAACTTTGTAAAACCAAAGAATATACTATTATATTTCATTATGTAGTAACATATGTGGATAAGATGTAGGGATGCTTAGGATGCAAATGGATTTTGACATACACAAAAATACTTCCTGGTTTGGAATATATGCCTCTACACTTCATGATTTAATAATGACCCTAACAAGTGACCTATACATCAATACAGTGCTGAATATAGGTCAACAAGATACTAGTGTGCATATAAATGTAATAATTAAAGCAGAATACTCATTTTGAAAAATCAGATGAATTATTTTTTCCCATGGGGAGATCCCAATGGAGGGTGTATAAGGTCCTTTGAACGAAATCAGTCTTCTGGTATTTGAGTTATCAAAGATAGAAGTGGCTCACTTGGAGATTTAGTGGCCATCTTGAAAATATTTTCTTGAGCAAAGCTACTTTGTCCCTAGGCATCAGCATATAAATTTTGAGCCAAATCAGTTAACTAGTATTTGAGTTATCAAAGATTACATTTTTTACCCAAAATGGTAGCCATTTTGAATTGAGCGGTCATATTGAAAATTCATTCTCAAGCAAAGATCCTGTACCCATGAATTTTGAATCTAATCTGTCAATCAGCATCTGAATTATCGCCTGAACAAAGAAACGGACAGATGGACGAACATACAGACAGATGAATGAACGGACAAAAAGACATATGGCTTTCCTACATCTCCCTCAAACTTTATTCGGTGGGATAACAAGATATATGCTTCATTTCTCACTGATATTAAGCTGAATTGATAACAAATCAATTCTAGAAGGTTCTGCCCTTCAATTGGTCTGTTTTTTATGACCTTTCAAAAACATGTTTGATATGACCAACTCAATGTTGAAGGCACTCCTAAATGCAGTGCTTGAATTTCTCAATAGACTAGATGTGAGTAGAAATAATCTCGATTTACATCATTAAATATTCAAAATGAAGTCAAAGTGACGTCATATTTGAAATCTACATGTAAAAGTACATCTAGATATACCAGTTGTTTATCAACTCTGACCCTCAGTTATGCCTGGGTCACATTTGCTCCGATCCATCGGCCGGCGCCTGGCCGATTGAGTGTTTTGTTCAATATCGTAATAAATTTTGAACAAAATACTCAATCGCTCGGGCGCCGTAGTGAAAATCGGAGCAAATGTGACCAAGGCATTACAAAATCACAAAAAGTGAAATATCTTTTCTTGTATTGGACAGATAACATTTTCTCTTACTGGACATATTCTAATTTGCATAACTTTTAGATACATATGGGTTATATGAAAATTGAACAACTAAAACAGATGGAATTTAACCACAATCTAGCTAATTTTTAGGATTTAAATCTTCCCGCAGTTAAAAAAGCAAAAACACAGGCTAGTACTTAAAAATAATTCACTAGAGTGTGACAGTATAAGCACAACTGGACTCATGCGAAGATGGGAGGAGACTTGTCAATCATAAAGCACATATAAGGTTATACCCTGTGCATCAGCTTCATTGAACAAAATATTCGTACAGGTCATAAGCATCGCGAGACATCACAGCCTTCTCTCAGTTTCCTTTCTTGTGCATTGCAGAGATGGTCTGAGTATCAGAATGGGTCTTAAGTTGCACGATAAAAAATTTGGAACAAAACTAACAAAATTAGACTAGAAATTAAAACAGATGTACATGCTTTGAATGAACAGGATTGCCAGTTTCATCTTAAAAATGGTGCTTAATCATTGGAATTTCAAGTTAAGCATTGCCTGTTGGCTCACTATTGCTTGCCAAGGAGCAAATATTTTGATCACACCTTTAGATGCAGGCTACAACAGCAGGTTGATGAACATGTTCAAACTTGGAAGGATCCTGCTAGGGGATGGACATAATATTACCATGCTATACTCTAATGCAATACACAATCAAACATTGTTTAAACTAGTTGAAGATCATCATGCTAATAAAGCATTTAATGTGATCACTTATAAAGAACCTCCTGTTGAACGATTGCAGCTAGCTTCAGCGACTGCAACTGAAGTTATGATGAATACGGTTGGAATGCCAGCGTCAGAATTGTTAATGCAATTATCAGGAGTGTTCCTCGGAAGTCTAAATGCAATTTTGGGTGATCATGATGCTTTGGAGGCAATAAATAAGGAACAGTTTGATTTAATAATCGCTGATGATCATGTTCTGGTATCAAGAGTCCTTGGTGATTACCTAAATGTTCCAGTGATTACGTGTCTTAACATGGGGCCATTTTCTCTCATGTAGAATACAATTTACCCTTTCAACCCATCATACATGCCTATTGCGCTACATACAAACTATAGTGATACTATGACATTTTGGGAACGAATCATGAATACTTGGGAAAGTATCAAACTCCATCAAATGGGGGATTACATAATGGAAAGTGGTCGGGATATTTGCCTGAAACATGGATTAAATTACTCTTCGTGTGACAATATCATCAATTTCTATCAAACAGTTTCACTTGTATTTATGTTTCGTAGCGATGTTCTACATTACCCTGCTCCATTTATGCCCCATGTTGTTTCAATCGGAGCATTCTTTCTTGATAAACACAAACCATTGCCTGACAGTTATAATGATATTTTGAATAAGGCGAATGAACATGGCGCTATAATTGTAAGTTTCGGCTCATTTTTATGCTATCTCCCCATGATTCAGGTGAACCTACTTGCCAAGGCATTTGGAAAAATGCCCCAACGAGTCATATGGAGCTATGCAGGACCTAAACCTGATAACCTTGGCTCAAATACAATCATAGATGAATGGATTCCACAGAATGACTTAATAGTCCATCCCAATGTGAAACTATTTGTGCACCATTGTGGAGTGGCCAGTACCTATCAAGCCCTCAGTTATGGACTGCCTTATATTGGTATTCCATTTTTGTTTGATCAGAGATACAATTGCGAGAAACTGACAAACCGTGTAGGATCTGGACTGACCTTAAACCCTTTAGATTTAACAAGTGAGACACTACAACGTGCAATGGAGGATGTCATTAACACTGTCATCTATAGGGAGAATGCCAGAAAAGGTGCTGCCCTCTATCATGATCAGCCCATGGATCTTCGTGACAAACTTGTATACTGGGTCAATTATGTAATTCAACACAACGGTGCAAATCACCTGAGATCCGAAGGCATAAATAAACTGAACATATTTCAGTATTTCCTATTGGATATCATCTGCCTTATTTCAGGTATCATCTTGCTGATTCTTTTCTGCATATATCACATTTTGGTGCTGTTTAGATACATTTTGAGACTTTAAAGAAAGATTGACCTGATAAACATGTATATTAGAACACACTGATATACATGCACACTAATAATATAGACTAATGGTGGTTTCTTCAAATCTAGGTTCCTTAAATAGGAGTGATTATTCATATGAAGAATATAATTTTATTTTACGAATCCTTTTTGGTAAGGCCTGAAGGAACCAAAAAGGCACATATAGTTTTACAGTTTTCAATGGTTAACTATTCCCACCTGATGCTTTTCACATGTATCTTAGAGAGGGGGCTTTGTATTAAAGATGTGCCTATGTTAAAATGTTCAAATATTTACAGTTTCCTTATGGTTTAACGAGTCACTAATTCATTATGATTCATTTGTCTAGAAACATTTCACCAATAAATCTCTCGAAACTATTCAACAAATCTACGGCCCTTTTCCAGATATCTTATATTGCCCTTGGAATAATTCCAACATCCAGAACCTCACACAGGATAATCTATATATATCTATTCTATTCATAATACACACGTATTTATATTCTTTTTTACTTGTAATTTTTTCATTGGCTTATAATCAATAAAATTATGTTATACTGACTATTGATTTAACTTTCACTCTTAACGAGTTATTTGCTAATCAGTCTTTTCCTTTGCTTTCAAACTCAGGGCTTTCCAAACTAGCCTACAACAGTGCTTTAAAATCTGATACAAAATGAAACTGAACAATAAAAACACTAGGAGAATATCAATCATTAACCACTGGTACCAAGGCATGTTCAGCGAAACTGGTTTCAAATCAGAACCACCAAATTTCAGCACATGGTTTACCCAGAATGCAATTTCCTGAAGTGGATCAGGAAGATCATCTAAGATAGCCTTCGCTTTGAGAAGATTATCTTTGTATGTTTTATTATCAATCATTTCATTTATGTTCTGTACAAGTTCATCAGATGTGAATGTGTTAAAGTCCATAACAAGTCCATAACCTCTAGCCTTTGCACGTTCAGCATTATGCATCTGGTCTAGAACAAGAGGGAAAGTGATCATTGGTACAGCATGGGCAACACTCTCTAATTGGCCACTGTTACCTCCATGCGTGATAAACAGTTTTGTATTGGGATGTCCTAAAATATCATTCTGGGGCACCCATTTCATTAAGATCCCATTTGAAGGTTTGTTCTGAAATTTTTCATTGGCTTATAATCAATAAAATTATGTTATACTGACTATTGATTTAACTTTCACTCTTAACGAGTTATTTGCTAATCAGTCTTTTCCTTTGCTTTCAAACTCAAGGCTTTCCAAACTAGCCTACAACAGTGCTTTAAAATCTGATACAAAATGAAACTGAACAATAAAAACACTAAGAGAATATCAATCATCAACCATTGGTACCAAGGCATGTTCAGCGAAACTGGTTTCAAATGAGAACCACCAAATTTCAGCACATGGTTTACCCAGAATGCAATTTCCTGAAGTGGATCAGGAAGATCATCTAAGATAGCCTTCGCTTTGAGAAGATTATCTTTGTATGTTTTATTATCAATCATTTCATTTATGTTCTGTACAAGTTCATCAGATGTGAATGTGTTAAAGTCCATAATAAGTCCATAACCTCTAGCCTTTGCACGTTCAGCATTATGCATCTGGTCTAGAACAAGAGGGAAAGTGATCATTGGTACAGCATGGGCAACACTCTCTAATTGGCCACTGTTACCTCCATGCATGATAAACAGTTTCGTGTTGGGATGTCCGAAAATATCATGCTGGGGCAGCCAATCCATTAGGAGCACATTTGAAGGTTTGTTCAGTGGTGTAATACCTTTGTATCTCATTACAATGTGTTGATTTATGCGTGAAAATGCCTCCATTAGTTTTGACATTATGTGATCAGGGAATGAATTTATTGCAGACCCGAATGATAGTAGTATTGTCCCATGCTTTGCCTGACCAACAAATGTTGAAAGATCTCCTACTAATGGTGAAACATTTTTTGCTTCAAAGCCTCCTACTATTTTATAAGCAGGATGGGATAGACGGGGATATTCCAATATGTGGTGTTCCATCATGACAAACCACATCTCAGATTTTCGATGTAAATCAGTAATGCAAATCAGCGGCTTATTAGGAGCATATTTTCTCAATAACTCCTCAAAGTTGAAACTTGAAAAAGATGGCGTCATGGTATAGAATGCCAGAGTCAAGAGAAAATTCCTGATTCGCTGAGTGAAGGTCATGTAATCTGATCCTGATAAATAAAAATGTGCTTCTGAGGAAGGTAACGAGGGTCGGCTGCACGCAATGGTTCAGGTAATGTAAAAATAGTTATGAATGGAACATCATGTCGGTATGGTATAATGTATTGAATGCTGTTGGTGTGAATTCCATCTAAAATCATCAAATCAAACTTTGCGTTAGATATTCTTAATGTCATTTCCTCATCTTCAAGAAGTCTCTCTTGATCAGCATAAATTTTTTCAGCAAATCCTTTGAGCAGCTTGATTTTGTCAGAAGATCCCATATCAATTGCAACTTCATTCACTTTATCTTCCATGTTATTGTGTTCCCAAAATGATGCAAAATTATAGTACCAACATTCCATTTATGAGTATTTTTCCAAAATTTTCTTCATCCTTGGTGCGGTAAGAATGGTCACATCATGTCCTTCAAAACCAAGTTTTTCTCCAAGTATCGCAAGTAAGTTCACATGGTTGTAGTGGTCAATAGGAAGAAATAATATCCTATAGGAATCCACGGAGATTAACCCCCAGCATAAAGCCAAAAAGGGTAATGCAATATCCTTAAAGTTCATAATTCTGGTATATATTTGAAACCAATCTGGGTGAACAATGAGTCATAACAACAATCATTGAGAAAATCGTTTCGTTACAAAAAGTTCCTGTTGACACAGCCAGTTCAACGATTTCACTTAAACTTAATAAAAAGTGTATATGTTTTTAAGCTAAGTTAGGGTCATGTTAAAGGCCAGGGTCGGGTATAAAAGGCCAGTGGCAGTTAGGAATTACATCATATGATGATTTGATAATTTTGAAAATCAGAGCTCCAGAGGTTTTATTTTGTTTTTCCCTGATAACTTGAAAACTACTGAACAGTTTTTGCTACTTTTTGTCACAGTTCAGCATGAACATATGTTAATTCAATATCTTGCTTCTTTTAATTCAAAATATCACTTCATTTTGTATAATTAAGCCTTTTTATTTGAAAATGTACTGGTTTTAGGGGAGGAGTTACTAGGCAGGGATTTAAATATCTGACCAATGAGGACTCTATAAATTTGTCATGTGATATTTACAAACACAAGCACATGGTGTTATTCTAAGAAAGCAAAGATAGCTCAGCTGTAGTTATTTGCACTAACCAGAAAAAGTATAAAGTACAAACTTACCTCCCCACTTGTATTTTCTTCACATTACATATCCCCATCATGTATACAGGTTAATTCAGGTATATAATTATAATTCCACTTATTCAAATGTTTGCTATAAATCCAATGTCATAGGGTCATAATTATGTAAAGATCATATTTAGTACTTTATCCCAGATTAATTGCTTGTAATTTGTTGTTGGGGGTTTTAAAATCTTTTTACGTAATGTCCTTCCAGGAGCAACATCTTTAGTCCAAATACTTGTAAAATCCCGGTCTACGTTTTCGTTCCAGTGTAGTGTGGTAAGATCTGTCCTCAGTTCATACTGCACATTTCCAAAGGCAATTCTCTTATCATGAAACACATTCAAAACATTGTTGTAACTTTCAACGTAAAACGTGTCAAGTGCGTCTGTATAATTTTGTGCTTGTCTATACACTATTGTTTTCCTAATTGATTTCTTTAAAAGTTCCTCTGCAATTGGTGTCTGAATTTTCAGGTAATTGAGTTGATAATTATCCTCTTTGCAACTAGAGTTTATGTTACAATTTTGATGGTTATCTTTATAATGTTCAACGATGTTATCAAGAATGTTTTTTAAAACTTCAGGGTCATTGTTGCAATTTCGCATTGCCCAATGGTACTGTTTTTTAATTGGTTCAACCTTGTCAGACAGTTCCATGTGCCATGAGATACCATGACTGTAACGAGGTCCTTTTGCGACTTTTTCGATTTCTTTCTTTGCCGATTTTCCCCCGTGCCAAGTGTCGTTTTGATTTTTGGTATTGCCAAGACGTTCTCTTACAAGTTTATTGATTGTTTGATTAGCATCATGTGCATGTACAGGGTGTCAAATGGCGTTGTGCCCCCCTTCCACAGCATAAACTTAGAAAGGTACCTACACATTATGTATGTCATTGGAAAGAGCATTCAATTCTGGATAAAATAAACCCTAGATGACCTAGGTCAGATATTGCTACATAGTGTTACATGCATTTGAAATGTACTAGTGTAGTGCTCTATTTCAATGATTTTTGAGAAGTGGCTGACTGTAAAGTGTAGTGCCTTATTTTATTTATTTAGACTAAAGCTAGTTCACAGTTGAAAGAAAGATGACAAAACAACTTTTTGATGATGATAATCAGCGATATAGAGACAGAATAAGGTGTATTGCATATAGAGAATGAGGGTGCTAGTTTCATTACGAAGTATTAAAATCTCTTGAGAAAGACACAGCCCTTTTCCATTCCCTTTTAGCTTCATATCCGGCTAGATTGGCAGCGGTTAAGGCTGCCCAAGGGGGTCATACTCACTTTTAAAAGTAAGTTGAAAATAGATCTTATTTTCCATCATGCATCTTCATCTTTTCACATGTTAACAACAATTAAATGCTCTTTCCAATGGTATATGGTATGTGTGTGTATCTTTCCTAGTTTATGCCGTGGAGGGGGGTCACAACGCCATTTGACACCCTGTACTTTCACTTTCACATCACTTTCATCAAAATGTGTATATATTCTGTCTGTTCCGATCTTTTCATGCCTTTGTGAAATAGGGTCGTCTTGCTTTGTCACATGTTCTGCTCTCAAAACTTTGTGACTTTCAAGTCCTATACAAATGACATCACAATCATTGGCATTCTTCCTCCATCCGTGACGGGCATCAGTCATTATTCCTATACCATCATCAAGGGGCCTTGTTTTTTCCTTCTCTTCTTCAAGGGCAATTCTGCAAGATTCTAAAGCTTCAATTTTAATGTGAGATGCGAATTCTTGTGTCATAGTTTGCAGTTTTTGTTTTCCTATATGCCCAAATTGTGATGTTTTTGTGAGGCTGTCATATTGACTTGGAAGCATACCTGATGTTATGTAACCATGAAAAAATCTGCAATTTACTAAACTTTGACCATTCGGAAGAGAAGGTGACGATTTCCATCTGATTGTATGTTTGGCATCACAATGCCACTCAACTGTAACTGCATGGCCGTATTGTTGATAGTCAGACCAGTATAGCTGATTATTACACATGGCTCTATGTGCTGAAGCATGATCTACGAGTCTCTGCACTGCAGACTTGGTTGTAAAAAACATAGGTTCATGCACATTTTCTCTATCTACTGATAAGTATTCTTGAATGGGCTCATTCTTGGATGCCTCATTAGACGATTCACCTGGAGTGTTGTTCATTAGCCAGAAATCAATTGCAGTCTCTATTGTTTCTGTGTTGTTTGCTATTACTTCCCTGCTAATTAACTGCTTCATTTTTCTTACTTTTTCCAGAACCCTTGTCTTAGCACCTTCATCACCAGGCATTTCTAATTGAAACTTTGGTTTTCTATTGCGTTTTACACTTGTCATTTCTATTTCTAGTCAGACTTTGGTTCTATTCAATAAGGAGTATATTGATAATGAAACTGGCTACATTGAATCAAATAGTACTTGATTTCTCTTGATAGCCATGAGTTCTTGAGGGAGGGGGCATTTGATTACTATCTAGTTAGATTTATACCTAGGATACACAAGAGCTAAGTGAGAGATAATATCTAAATGGTTCTTCCCTCAATTATGTTTGGCCTATCTCTAGCAGACCAAAGGAAATCATGCTGCAACATTGGAGGGAGTTACAATTAAAATCTAATTTTCAGAAGTTCAATGTTCACATGACAGATAGTTATTGACAAGATCAAGTGAAATTCTAGATTCAAATTTTGAATCACTCTGTGGATCTCATCAGATCCAAGAATAATGTGTCCCTTGAGAAATGCCAGGGATGTCTATTTCAAAAATATCTAATCTGCAGTTGAAGGGATCATATCCATGTTTCAAAATCTTACTCTGTACACTATATTGGATCATAAAAAAATTATTTCATTTACTGATTTTGGTATTTCCCCCAATTGGACAGTGAAAAGTTCAATCCTCAAGGCATTATACTGAATTAGGGACCTGTCATTGTGTGTATTCTCATTCCATGTCTAACAAGGGTAAAATATCAATTAGTTCAGATACTGAGATAAAAGAAAATGACTGGTCCCACTTTTTCTGGAATTGTTTCTGGAGTTCTTGTACTTGTTTTAGTAACACTTACACACAGCTGGTTATTTCCAAAATATCATGGCAACTTCAAAAAGAAAAAAGAAAATAGTATCCTTATGGGTTAATGATGACCAAGAAAGAAAGCTCAAAATGTATTTTGCATCCAACAAATGGGAGTGGAAAAATCCTAAACCTGATGACATTCTGAATTCAATTACATACTCAGAAAACACAGATAACGTTAGTGCTAGAGCCCCTGACCCAGAAGATCCACCAAGTGACAATGAACCTGATTTAGAAGATGCATGTGTACATTGTCTGTGTAGGCCATGCATCACCCATGATGACAATCGTCAAATGTGGTGGCCAGAGAGCGACAGTCCTCCGACAGCGCATAACCACACATTTAGGAAGGAACTATTCAGATCCTTTTGGAGTATCCTATCTAATCGAGGCATATGGAACATTCCAATATATATTGCCCGAAAACAATTGGCTTTGCAGTCTCATCCAAGATATCAGGGAT